CGGCTCAGGCCTTAATAGTTTACAGGTCCAACTCCCGCAATAGTTACTCACTACACTAGGCACCTGAGAAAGACTAGCAATAAGTGGACTAGCTGGAAAAAATTATCGTATCAGATGAAATATGCATGAATATAAACACCAATATATATGAAATCATACGTTCCGAGTCTGAATTAAAAATTATTTTTTCGATTGGAAATTGTGCACGTTCATCTACCACGTCTAAATTAACCCTCTACCGCCGTATGTCACTCTCCGGGAACATAACTTTCAACTTAAATTATACGTAAACTATTGAGTGTAGCAACCCGAGGAAGTTTGTACGCAACAGAGAACATTTTTAAGTTGTCGCACGTGGCGTAAGTTGTAATTTTGCGCTGACTAGAACGTATCTTTTTAGGAAGTAGGCTTGTGACAACATTGCTCCGGTTACTCATGTCAGGCGGTAGAGGGTTAACTTGCCTTGCTATAACTTAATAATTCAACCACAATTTCATTCAGAATCTTCAGTTTGGAAAAGATCCAAGGACCGGTTTTTGTATCACCTGTGAACAAGTCACGGAAAGAACAAGCATCGGCGACAGGCCACATCAGGCCTATTCTTCAGCGCCGACATCACTATGTTATGTACCACTATCTACCACACTATACCTACCTATACCACTACCACACTATACCGACTACCATGTAACTATAGTAGTACTGAGGAGACCGAGGGGTCGTGAAGCCCTTAGCAACAGCGGGCGAGGAAGGATACTGTCTCATGTTCAGCACTCAAAAATAATAAAGGTTCGTTCCTATGCTAATTAAAACATGTAAATTCTGTTATAGGCTAACTGAAGATTTATATTTAACATTCATTAGTTATAAGATGAAATGAATGAGAACTCATAGAAGCACATGAACTGAACATTAAAAATTATCAAGATATTATAACGCCTAACTAAATCAATAATTCATATATGAATTATTCGTATGCTGAATCTTCTTCAGACGGCATCCTGTCGCTCCTCGACCCGCTTATGCTCCTTGCGGNCTTTGCACGCACTCTGAGGTTGACGATTTTGTGACTCCAATCCAAACAAAATACTCGCTCACCGAAGAGTAATAGGAATGTCACGAGTTTGCTGACCTTGTACAACAGACAGGCTCTGTTGACCTCAGCATCTGGGTCGTCGTCAGGACTCTGGTCGACGAGGCTCTTGGCCCCTGGCAGGTCCTCCTCGCCGTACTTGATGGCGGCTTGCAGCTTCACGATGCTGCCCGCGTACTTCTCGCCCTCGATCTGGCATGTCACTTTCATCGCCTCTTCGTACAGACAGGCCTGGGTGATGATCAAAGTTTAGGTTATACATAAAACTTGAACAAAAATATCTTTGGCAATGCTCCTTTATCTTATGCGTTACATTACTTGGCTTGTCATAGCAGGTTATTAAGCCACGTATGCCTGATAATAAATGTATGGCAAAATTTCAAAATCTTCTTCCAATGTACACAAATTTCACATTAAGTTTATCTTTGCATCATTACTGAATTATTTTATAATTCGGAACCACGAGATTCGGAAGCTCCTGCAGACACCATATCCTCGCATCGTCTTCTCCGCTGAATGGATGCGCTTCGTTATAGTATTCCAGGTTAATAATTCATATCCATGTCAGTACTGAAATTTAACCTCAATCCGTTATAAAAATCTTCAACTTATTATGACGGAAATCTCCATTAAAGCAATGATGTTTAACATATGTCAGCTACTAGCTCCACTGGGCTGGATCAGTATAGTATAGTCGCTCATATTAGTCATGAAAGTGTTTGGCATCCGCAGTAATGTGACGCATGGACATCGCTTACAGGGAAAAGTCCTTCAGATCACAATAATTTTAGATAAATCATTACCAACACAACAAATGTTATCGCGAAGGAGATTGTCACATGTCATCAAGCATGGGAAGTAAAGGTCTGTTGCATACCAGCGAAAGTGATCTTTATCTGTACTTTTCACTGACGATGCCATCATCGCGGAGTAAGGGTGTCTTTGATTTTAATAATATAATTTAGTGTATATTTGATATTTGCCCCATCATTAATCCTGCTCAAACGAGGTTGTATGAATGATATGATTTTTTCGGAGCTGTTAAACAAAATTTGAATTTATAATGTTAATCAAGTTATTTATATATAGATGAGATGGCATCACTTGGAAGTTGGAACAAAGCTGGTGGTGAAACTTTTGTAGATAAATCGGTCAGTTAGACATTCTAATGCGAGATTCAAGCTGTGTTTTGTGCGTAAGCACGAATGAAGTAATTAAAATACCTAAAATACAGTTCTGGGACTGTCTCTTATACACATCTAGATGTGTATAAGAGACAGACTCAGTACTCACAACAGGCTGGGTGACGTGACGTGCTCGCAGGACCTCCTGGTGGGGGGCGCCGCTGTTCTCGTACTCGTGTAGCCACGTCACCAGCGACTTGTGCACCGCGCCGTTCAGCAGCTCCATCAGCTACACACACACTTATTGTCTCCCCCACAACAGCCATCATTAATTACTCTTAATTAATTACAAATCTATTGAAACACTTATTGTCTCCCCCACAACAGCGATATCTATTACTCTAAATTAATTACAAATCTATTGAAACACTTATTGTCTCACCCACAACAGCCATATCTATTACTCTAAATTAATAACAAATCTATTGAAACACTTATTGTCTCTCCAACAACAACAACATTAATTACTCTAAATTAATTACAAATCTATTGAAAAATATATTATATTGATATAAAAAGGGCCAACTCGCGCCCAACAACGATATTAATTACCTTTAATACTAATTACGAATTTATTGAAATAACAATTCAATTTATATAAAAAATATAACTCAGTACTCACTGCAGTGAGTGACAGAGAGCGCATTTTCTCGTCGACGAAAACGTGAAGTCACGGACGGACAGACAGACAGACGGACATGGCGAGCACAATAGTGCATTTTTTCCATAAATGAGAAAATGTGCTAAAAGGGCAATAAATATTATAATGGTTAATATAGCCGAGATTTATGATTGATCGTGGATAACTTCTGAGAAAGCAAGTGACGCATGAATAAAAAATTAGGCTAACAAATAATTAAACAAATTAACACTGATAAAATGTTAATAAGTTAGCACAGTCCAAAGCCTCGTGGAAATATTGTCATGTAATTTCAGACTGCATTGTAGGACCTGAAAAACAATGTAACTCATACATTAAGAAATAGTAGTAAAAAGTGTACTTCCTGTAGTTCACAGGGCTTGGGCAGAATAGTTTACTTGACCTGCAATGAACGATTCAATAAGTTAAAAGTTTTTCTGGCTCAAGAAGGTACGGCAGACGGTGAAAATCTGAGCCCAGTCAGATGGCAGCTAGTCTGTTGAGTTCATCGAATCACATTTTCAGCACTAAAATAAAACACAACTGCTGATGCCTTACATGGTTAAAATAACAGACATTAGGCGAGGAGGTCCTGAGAGGTTGATTACTAATCATTTATTTACTTATTTAATTTACCACCTGAGGGGATGTATACAGCGTCGCCTCTTCCAGGAAACATACCACTGAAAAGATTATCATTTTATTTGTCGTGTATAAACGAAGGAGAATGAGAACCAAGAGACTGAAAGTAACGAAAAATCGTACATGCGTGAGATTAAAATACATTTTTAAAACGAAGTGCGGCATCAAATAAAAAGTAAATTTAGAGCTGGAACATTAGCAAAGTGAAACATAATTGTACATGCGTGAGATTAAAATACATTTTTGAAACATAGTGCGGCATCAAATATCAAGTAAATTTATAGCTGGAACATTAGCAGAGTGCAGACATAAAAGCATGTGGAGAGGGCTTATTTGTACAGGAAGGTGCTGGAGTAAGCCTACCAAGAACCTGGTATCAACCACGGAAGCCATGCACAACGTAAACTGGGTGCAAAATATACCATCACAGAACAAAGTCCAGCTTCTTTTCCAAAGTGACGTGTAGGGATAGAATTCAGAGCTAAATTATTATCATTTATTGCTTTAGAATACCTCGGTTGCGGACATGAAAAGCAACAAAAATCCTATTATTTTGACTTGATAAAATGATTTGTAAAATAGGAACTAAGCGGGACATTGCTCCGTGCAGCTCGTGAATACAAGTGACCTACATCCAAACGTGCAGACAAGCTCGAGTACAACAGGAACCAAAAAGTGTAAGAAATGTATGCATTATCTTGACTCCATACACAATACTTGTAACTAACATACACAATACTGGCAACTAAATTTGAAATAACGAGTGGATTCCTTTCATTTGTGCAAGATTTAGTCCGAATTGATCCAAGTTGATCCATTTAGTCCGAGTTGATCCAAATATTTATAAGATCAAATACCCCATAACCAAAGCAGGTCCGTAACATATTAAGCCAGAAGGTAAATATATGTATTTCATAGAGCGAAGGGACAAGATGTAAACTAAAGATTGGGATACTGAGCTAATCAGTAGATTATAGGATACGCTACGGAATGAAAAATTCCGAACATAGCACACAAAGTTCTCATCATTTATTCCTAAGATTTCGATTGAGAGCCTCACGAAATAATTGCTAAGCAGCACATATTTATTTTCTTTAGCTGATACAAGCTGATATACTAATTACACATCATTCAGTCCGCTGCATCATGTTCATACTTTAGAAAACTCATCAGTCATCGAACGACAACCATCAATTCTACGTAGCAGCAAGAATCCAACATTAAGAAACAAAACTGGGTCACCTCAATTACGCCTATAATATGAATTGTCTCTCCAGCTGTCAACGAAGTTAACAGTTGGACGACATTCAAGAAATAAATAATACAGATAAGTATAAAAAATCCACCTATCTTCATTGTAATTCTATTTGACTATTTATCTTACTCGTCGTGTTTGGTGGATTCTTTGCTGTCGAATACACTTATGTAATGAAAAATTTTAATCACGTTGAACTATAACAGAAGCTGAATTTGAAATCTCAATGATATATATAAGATACTATATACAGACAACAACCGAAACAATCTAAAACGACTTTATTCAACAATTGTAATCTGCAACGAAGTAGCAATGCATTCTCTCCTAGAGCAAACGGCCATGTTTCATGAAACCTCTACAAAATTGCCCATGCAGGGGCCATACTTTCAAAACTCGCTAAGTGAACGAAAGAACTTACTCTCTATTTTCTTGTCTATGATTGGTGGATTTTGCTTGAAAGGCCGTCAATGATTGGCTAATGAACTTACGATCTCTCAACTTTTTTTTGAAAGTATAGGCCCAGGAAATTTCCTAGGTAAATTGAAATGAGAAATTTGGAGTGCAATATTGACTTGGAGGGCTTGCGGTTCCCGCCTTACCACGAGGAACTCCTGCTTGTCGACGCGCTCGTTGCCGTCCGTGTCGAACATGTTGAAGGCGATGTGGAACCCCGTCTGCGGTTCTGCAATGTTAAATGACTAACTGAAATAATAATAAATAATATGCTCCAATAGAATCAATTCAATAAAATACTTATATGAAATACTTGAATGAAAAATCCCAATTAAATACTTAACTGGATAATCTCAATTAAATGCATGAAAGAAAACTAAATGCCTTAGAAGCACTTTGTTATCTTCAGTTAAATACAAATAATAAACTACAGAGTGTAAAAAATGTTCATGGGTTTGGACCCTGCACCAGAATAGAGCAGAGAATGTTTATTGCTAACACATTGAACTTCAAAACACGAACCTCACTCAAAAATATGAAGAAACTATAGCTGTTAGTAAAACATATAATTCGACTGGACTTAATTAAATTGAGAAGTGAATACTAAATTTTTACAGTATAATTGGCACTCAGAAATCAAAATTCTTCGTAAAAATGGAAACGAGGTAATGTCATTAAATTGGGTGTGTTAAATCTCTCATTGAATCGAGGGTATTGAATCTCTCATTAGATTATGGATATTTAATGGATAATTATTAATTAATTATTAATTAATTATTAATGGATAATTATTAATTATTTATTAGAACACAAGGCATTAACGAGAAATTAGTTGATACTAATGTGACTCACTTGTAAGTATGGACAGGAGGAAGAGGTACTCTGTGTACGACATGATCCCTGTGCCACGGACATATTAACATTTGTTCAACACATCTCCATGCTTAGAAAATATATGAGAAATATAGCAATATATTTAACTATATAGCCTGAACATCATGGAGCATTCTCTCAAGAAGGGTTTTTCATAATTTATAAATGGAAAATTCAATCACATTCAAACTCATATACAGTATTGAATCAGCATATCAATTTCATTCAGATAAAAAAATTACATACTTAGTAGAATTTTGATATGCACCAAATTTCAAAGCTAGGATCATTCACCTCATGAATTTTGTACAAGCAATTTCAACAATAGCATGAAAGATTTAAGAAGGCAATGCTTTTTTCTCCCAGACCACGGAAACGTTTTGCCATAAAAACGTTCCGACGTAGTAACGTTTTTTCGCAGTGGTAACGTTTTGCCACGAAAACTTTTTGCCGTGGCAACGTTTAGCCATAAAAACGCGTTGACTTGTTAACATTTTGCAGTGGAACGTTTTGCCATGAAAACGTTTCGGCTTGTCAAGATTTTACAGTGAAACGTTTTTCAATGGCTACGTTTTCCCGTTTTTATCGAATTTTCTCATTTATAGATAAAATGCACTATTGTGTCCGTCTGTCTGTCTGTCTGTCCGTCCGTCCGTCTGTCTGTCCGTCCGTGACTTCACGTTTTCGTCGACGAGAAAATGCGCTATCTGTCACTCACTGCAGTGAGTACTGAGTTATATTTTTAATATTTTGCCACGCTACAGTTCGCAGCGATCAGCTGTGCATCTCACCCTTATCATAAATCTCTCGGAACATTTTAGAAGTTCCCTTGCGCAGCGGCGGCGTGCGCTGGTAGAACTTCTCGAGGTCTTCCTGTGTGAGCTGTCGTCGCCGCAACCTCTCTGCAACAGTGACATTTGTTTCAGAGACTTCCACTCACCGTTTACAGGTACGGAAAAGCTCAAAGTCTGTAGAAATCTTTAAACCAGAAAGTAGTTATTATTTAATTTGTGATCTTGTGATCTTGTGACGAATTTAAGACGTCGTAGTCCACTGTCACGCTGATGCGTCGCCTTCGTCTTCCTCCGTCTCCGAGTCGTCGTCGGATGTAGTAACGTTGGACGTCATTTTATTGTTATATTGTTCACATATCATATGTATACAAATATAAAAACAATGCCACTGAAGTCGAAAATTAACTTGACATTATCTGATTGGTCATCAATAAGTTTAACTGCTCGCACTAATGATGAATTAAAATTTTAATTTGTTGAATCTCGAGCTCAAAGCGAATACGTTGGAAGCAAAAGAAATATCGATAATAAAATTTGGAAGAATATCAGACTTAGCATCAACAACAATTCACTTTCCCTTTTCCATGCCTTATACTTGAAAGACATACATTGAAAGCTGAATAATTTTAGATAAGAATTTGCAAGGCAATGAAGGCATTAATGGTGAAGGTGAAGTGAATATAATAGTATTAATATAATACTAATTATATTATTATACCTATATTACTATTATATAATAATATAATAGTACATAATACTGATAATAGTTAAGGTACCCACGTCGAGGCTCTGAGTCAGTGACGCTCTCAATGAAGTCCTGAGGCGTCATGTAGAGCTGCCCGCGGTACTCCACGCTCGCGAACTTAATGAAGCGACGCTCTCGGTGGTTCAGCTTCAGCCCGCTCAGCTGTAGCTCTTCTGGCACCTGTACGTGACATTCATGTTGATATGAACATCATGTTGAGGTGTAATGATATTAACGGCTCTTCTGGCACCTGCTGTTGGCATTCATGTTGATATAAACATCATGTTGAGGTGTAATATTAACGGCTTTTCTGGCACCTGTACGTGATATTCATGTTGATATGAGAACATCATGTTGATATAGCGTATGACACTAGCTACAGTTCTGGCACCTGTACGTGACATTCATGTTGCTATGAACATCATGTTGAGGTGTAATGAGACTAACGGCTCTTCTGGCACCTGCTCATAACTTTCAAGTCGCTTTAAGAACATCATGTTCAAGTGTAATGAGACTAACGGCTCTTGCAGCACCTGCCGGGTGGTAAAAATAAGTGACAGGTCGACATGGCTCAATAAAAAGCGGACACCATAATATTATAGGTATATAATGAGAGACTCACGTGCCGTTTAATGCCTTTTGCATGAACTGTAGGCAGGATGCAGTCGCCGCTATTGTCCCCGCGGCTGAGCTGAGAGCAGCAGTAACCAGCGACAGCCATCGCCGCCACGGCTGCCGCGACCGTACCAAGACCATTACCATCGCCGGGACAGCCGTTACTTTTATTGGCCGTGCCGCAAACATGCAGAAAATTGAAGCTTTTCTTGTTTTGTTGACTATAGTTCCTAAATTGACAAGAATTCAAAGCGGTGATATGGTTCCCGAATGCGCAGGTGAGAGAAGTAAGATGTCCGCCAGTGACACCGTTACAGGCAGAGGTTACGTTTGAATTTAAATATTCCGACGACACGGAATTCCGGGAACGTGCAGCAGCAGGTGGCAAGAAGCGTGCGGTTGCCAGTGTGTTGTTGCAGCACAATAAAGATCTGCTGCAACTCATGGTGAACGCTTGAGATGGAGCACAGCGTGACTTGAAAACAATCACGGTAAAAAACTACAATGGCTGTACATTTACACAAGGGTTACAATGCTGCATGTTAGAGGCGGCTCAGGCCTTAATAGTTTACAGGTCCAACTCCCGCAATAGTTACTCACTACACTAGGCACCTGAGAAAGACTAGCAATAAGTGGACTAGCTGAAAAAAATTATCGTATCAGATGAAATATGCATGAATATAAAACACCAATATACATCAAATCATATGTTCCAAGTCTGAATTAAAAATTGTAATATCGAATAGAAGTAGCGCACATTTATCTATCACGTCCAATTTAACTTGCCTTGCTATAACTCAATAATTTAAATTTAACCACTATTTCAAGCAAAATCGTCAGTTTGGAAAAGGTCGAAGGTCCTGTTTTTGGATCACCTGTGAGTAAGTAAGTAAGTAGTAGAATTGTTTACTAGCGCTTCAGCTATCAAGCTATTTCGCACCGAAGGTCAAAAGATAACATCGCCAGCGAGGTGGAAGGTCTCAATTATTCAAAATCTCAAATTATTCATCACCCACAAGCGGCGGAAGGTCTCAATTGTCCAGCCCGCTGAAGCTGGCTCGAAAGAAACAGCGTTAGCATCTTAAAGAGACGAAATGACCAGGAGGGACAGGTGAAAAGTAACTGAAACTAAGACACTCTAACAAGAGTCGCTTACACGGGACGCCAGCCGCCCGCACGAGAGAGACAGAGAAGAGAAATGTAAAGAATTCTAGCTACAAAATAACTTGACCCCACAACTGAGACCTACAGTCAGACACCGCGAGCTCAGCAGTGGGGCGCTCAGGAACAATCCTCCTAGGAGCGCAAAATCCCAAAGAACTTCTGACGAGCACAGACACGCGTCAGAAGTCCCGCCTGAGGGGGATCAACTGTGAACATGTCGCGAAAAGTACAAGTGCGGCGACAGGCTACATCAGGCCTACTCTTCGGCGCCGACATCACGATGTTATGTTATGTTATGTTAAGAGTGACTATCATGTAACTAAAGTGAGACTGAGGAGACCGAGGGGTCGTGAGGCCCTTAGCAACAGCGGGCGAGGCAGGATACTGTATCATGTTCAGCACTCAAAAATAATCAAGGTTCGTTCTTATGCTAATCAAAACTCATGTAAATTCTGTTATAGGCTAACTGAAGATTTATATTCAACATTCAATAATTATAAGATGAAATGAATGATAACTCATGGAAGCACATGAACTGAACATTAAAAATTATCAAGATATTATAACGCCTAACTAAATCAATCATTCATATATGAACTATTCGTATGCTGAATCTTCTTCAGACTTAAGGAATCCTGTCGCTCCTCGACCCGCTTATGCTCCTTGCGGTACCTTCGAATGTCAATCAAACGTGAACGATTTTTTTTCTTTTAAGCATACATTATAAGTAAGAGCGACGCACAGCTCTGAAGAAATGGTAGAGATTTCAATAGGTTACGGTCACGTCTTCATTAAAGCCACAATTCAATTTGTCAAATATGGGAGCCAAAATCCTGCATGATTATGTCAAAACTCGTGACGCTGAGCTATGTTCTAGCAGACATGTTGGACACATGAAACATGGACACAGGTCAGGAAATAATGTACTGCGTTTCAGAAGCTAATCGCTGATGTCGAGCATTTATATACCTGATTATATTTAAAATTAAGGTTAGTTTTTAGACTAATTTGAAGTGACGTCATAACACCGGTGCCGACAGAGTAAACTTCGCATTAGTTCCAACAACTAATAGCTTTATGAAGTAGCTCTTCTCATACTTTTCCATTGATTGGCATTATTCTAATAGCAAAACGAAGACACGACAGCAGCTAGAAACAAAAAACACTTGAATTTCAATAACTTAAGTGATGAAGCTCTTAGCAAACCGTGTCAGAGTGACTACAAAATATTGAAGAAATAACCTTCCAGTGAAGCTGATAATAGGAAATTCATCGCAAAGCGACGTACGCGCCTGAATTAATAAAAAATAAGGCAGTTGAAGGGATAAAAAAGAACCAATCCCAAAGCTATACTCTCAAAACAACGAAGTCGTAATCTGCTGTAGAATTGGTATCTTTAGTCATCAACTAGCGATGAAAAATCAGTAATTCAGGTATATTTGCGATCTTAGCCGGTATCCCAAGACGGTAATGAAATTATTGCAATTTATCATACGGAGTAATGACTACAATTAAGGGACAATATCGGCATGAGGGATATTACACATAATCGCCAGCTCATGGATAGTGTGAACTTGCAATCAAATTACCAGTGAAAATTCAATCAAATTACGAGTATGCCATAACATTAACTATACAACACCAGCTAAAAGAATTTTAAAAACAAAAAAAAAAGAATTTAGAAACGCTGCGATTTATTTCCCAAAATGAGCCCATTATTCAATGCTGTATGCGTCAATTCTTGTACATGCACAAGTCGAGACAACTGGACATGAATTAGTTACGCAGGTAAGATGGCGCTCGGCGCAGGTATATACCAAACTAATATTTATACACCATAGGGTACGTTGTTATCCCAAGTGTTCTGAGGCAACGTGCATACCCGCAGAAAAATAGACGAGTCGTATTGTCCAAATGGTGACGTACTTGCGGCGGGTAGCACTGATACTTTTCTTGGACAAACTGAGCGAAAATGGCCCGCATACGGGCTAAAGTGCATCGCTTTTTGGACAAGTCTTGTTACTTTCTCTGAAGTGTAGGTCACGTAGGAGGAAAGCAGCTAATATTTGCGCGAGGGTTAAGAAAGCAATTTACATTTAAAAAGAGGGAGAGTGATTGTGATATGACAAAAAATTATCGTTTCTTGCCTAAGCATAGTACAAATAATCAATAAATTCATTTAAATAAACATTTACAGTCATGGAGCATAGCAATGAAATTAAAGTTGATTTGTTACATTTAATTTCGAATTAAGAGCTTCAAATTTTTCTGCATTCATGAAATCCAAGAGGAAACGATTAAAATAAATTTATTAAAGATAATTATAAATTTGATGAAAATTTACTAGAATTTTTCTTCAATTTGACAAAAATAAATAAAGAAATAAACATTAAGATAATTTTTTTCAAAAGGCCAATATTCTGATCATGATAACGCAAAACATTCAAACAGAAGAAATACATTTGCTACATAGAAAACTCAAGCAACCGTGATATATCATTGATAATTTGGAGCAGAGTTCAATTTAATTGAAATATTTCAGCGGTTACCAAACATTCAATAATTTTTCAACCTATCCCTGCATCCTGAAAAGAATTCAGTAGGTATATTTAGGGCACTAACAAATATTCCTTTACTGAAAAGTATTACGTATTTTTTAATAATTAAGAAGAATAATCTCTGATGAACCATATAAATGACATCAATGAGTTACTAACACTGCCTACAATTGCAATGAATGAAGACATTAAAAGCGCAGAGAGTAGCGCAAGAGTGGCAGCTGATCACAGACGACCAGACTTGAGAGTTGTAGCCTCTAAGTAAACACACGCATACATTTGAAACAAGTGCATTACATGGACAATTGATGTATGTAAGACGAGCAGACGAATTTAAAAGTGATGGCCTTCATCAAGATAATTGTGCCTGACCGTCGGCCAATAATGAATTAATGATAATTTAGGAGAATTTCAGACTGAATGTTGAAAAAATTAAGACTTTAGAAAATGTTAGTCTTGATATGGGGACAGAAGAACTGTTTTACTTTTTTAGATGATAGCAATTAAAACTCCAAAATTAATCAGCAAGATTTCTAATATTCTAGAGCACATAAGTTGCAATATCATGGCTGCCACAGAGTCAAAAAACTTTAATATGTTAGGGCAATAAACTGTGTCCGACTTAAATCTGCTATGATGTCAAAGACAATAAATTCATCCATACCCTAAACTCGAGCTAATTGTTGGAACTATGAAGTAGTGAATGCATTGATCTAATCAGCATTTCTCATTAAGATTCAAGGGATACTAATTAACTCATTTTAGGCATCTCTCGAAATATACATTAGAGACATAGCCACCCCGCATGCTCTTGACGACGTTCTGTTCAAAGAGCGGCCGGTTCATCCGAAGCACCTCTGCCGCTTCTTTGTTCAACGGGTCTTCTGGGTTTGGCTCCTGTTGAAGTGTCAATATAATAAGAAAATTTGTAGTAAGATAATCATATCTAAGATACTTATAATATCTCACTTTGTTGTCAACACGCTATTGGCAGCAGAAGTCGTGCTAAAAAACATGCAAAAAACATGCAATAGCAAGCAAGATGCAAGTTACACAAACATGACCTGTGTTTTGGATGTGCATTGCTACAATTTTTTATTTTCTGAAAAATATGACAATCTTGACTTGTTGATGGAAGAATAATAATTCGTCCTCTTCAATATATTATTTCAATTCTCTAAACAATTAAATTACAATACAAACTTATTCAAGTCCTTAGGTGATATTGAAAAAAATAGATTTAATCTTGATTATGATCAAGATTAAATCTATTTTTTGTTAAATTAAATTAAATATCAAATCTAAAATTTGTTAAATATTAAATCTATTTAAGAACCTTGATTAATCTTATGAGATTAATCAAGGTTCTGATATCAAATTAACAGTTTCACAATGAGAGTCACAATGAAGCTCACCAAGAATAAGTACTGCAAGCCATACACAATTGAGTTGATGGTGAGCACAGGCTTCCAGTCTTCCCGCAATATGTTCAAGCAAACGTTGCCTTCCATGTCTATATTTGGGTGATAAACCTGCAAAGAAAAATAACATTCATCAATAAATTCATTTATTCATAAATTCATCAATAAATTTTTTATTGTATCCATCTTTGAACTCTTGAGCATTGCTATTGATTTATTTTATACTTCATTCCAATCAATGATTTTCCAGTGTTTATCAATGGTATTTAGCTTCGTCTCAACTTCCAACCTAAGCAACCTTTCATTCAAACTCAATTTGAAGCTACATAGAAATATGCTCTTTGTTTCCAATGATACTGACTAACAAAGTTAATGTAAATGTATTGACCTGCTTATCAGTTATCTTCAATATCATAATTAAATTGCATCAGGGAATGTCAGGCAAACATCAAGGGTTTTGAATCCAAAGCTTTTTTCAGCAGTTTTTATAAAATTAATACAATACATGAAGCAACATAATTCGGCCACTTCTGTAGAAACCCTGTAAAATAAAAAATTTGTAAACACCCAAAAAATACCCAAAGGGACATGAATGAAAGTTTTACTTGATTTTACATTGCCAAGCATAATTTATAATAACCCTCACAACATAAACCTATCAATACAACAATAATAAACCTATCAATACCACAATACCATATAAACCTCACAACTTGTCAGATGGCAATAATATCATTTTTTGCAAATAATGCGATCAATCATCAACACGAGTATTTTACAAGAAAATCATTAATTTATACACAAACAGGAATAATTTATGAAGTCATAATGAAAAATATTAGAAGTAAAATGAAGTGAGGACAATGAAAATTACAAAATATCTAGAAACTTCCAGAACAAGATAAACATGAATTAGAAACATTATTATCCTATGTTACCAAAGCCAAATATCATACCCAGCTGGTATCATTTCTCAATAATAATTACTTGAAAATTTCCAAATTTAATAAAGAAATAATAACATAAAATCAAAAAATGACAATGAAGAAAATAACATGTTATAAAATTCTGTTAATTCTTCATATATAGAAAAAATATAATATTTAAATTACTTAAATTTAAAATTAAATTTGGTATTGAATTTATTTAAAAAATCATAAAGCTCTTACCTCATCAGGACAAATAATAACTTTGAAGGACAAAAGATTGTCAGGGTCAGGGAATTCAGTTTCGCAGGTTTTTGGGAGAGTAAGTTCATTGATATCTGAAAAAGATAGATAAAGCACAAAGTTTTAGATCAGTACAAATCTAGCAGTAAAAAAGCACTTCAATTTCTATTTTGCGTTCCATAAGATTCATGCACATGAATGTAAGCATCAAAGCATAAAGTAATAGGAAAATTATTCCATTTCCATAGAAAACTTATTTTTACATGCAACTTGTTGAGCATGATAACATTTTAGCAGATATTTTATATAGGTATACCTGTATTAAGAAATAGTTAATTATCAAACAAATGCAGCATTGATACAACCATCACTAGCTGACTAATCAGTGCATCTGTTCATTCTGAAATTAAAAACAATCATTTATTATAGTTATTTGGATCTGATGTCATGACTTCTACTTTAAGGATTAGCTTTCATATGAAATAGGATTACATGTTTGAGTTGATTTATTTCTCTGGGCACCTTTGAAGGTTATCTTAATCTGAGAAATGGATCTGGGTGATATCAGATTATTATTACATGAAACAGCATTTCTAATTAATGTCATAAAGTAGTTGGTCCACAGAGCCTAGCACAAATTTAAGAATAATTAATCAAGATAATTATTTTTTTCCAAATACAGCTTGGCATTCAACAAATTACAGCAATCCCTTGATTAGCACGGTTTTAAATACCGCGGTTTTGATTAACGCGGAAAAAAAATTTGCGACCTACCCTTAATCTACGCGGTGCCAGTTTTGATTAGCGTGACTTTTTTTTCACAACTCATCATTTTCCTGCCTCTAGCCAGAGGTGTTACGTTCGTAACAAAAGTGTTACTTTTTGCTTATTAGATCTTATGTTGTTACTTTTGTTACGACTTTTGGAAAAATTCGCCAAATGTCGTTACTTTATGAATTTCAGCCAATAATTCTTTAAATAAGGTCCTGTACCGTAGGCACTCGTGCTGACTACAGAGTCGTTTTAACCGCGCCTTGTCTCGTTCATAACTCGAATGATCGAGTTCGGCAACGTTCGCCGGTAAGTGCGCCATGCCGGTGCTCTAGCCCTTTAAGCCCTGGTGTGACGAATTCGTCACACAAAAAATAAAAGCTTCTACCGAGAGTAATTACATGTTTGGAGTCTAGCCGCAAGTGTGACGGTAGCGTCACATGTTGTGAATCGTTCGAACGACGTTCGATGGAGTAGGCGCGTCGCTACTGCCAGTTCTGCCATATCTACTGCTCACTTTTATCAAACTACATAATTTTCCTTTCCTTTGCTATTTTTGAGGATTCATTATAATTATTCCCATATATTCTTAAGTTTGATTAGCGCGGTTTTGCTTAACACGGTAAAACTCGGGGATTTATTAACCGCGTTAATCAAGGGATTGCTGTATATCAACTCACCTTTGGTTATTCTCAGCTGGGCAGCAGAAGCTCGTTTGCCTCCACTTTTTTGAGCATCACTTCCATCTTTTTTCTGGTTTTTCATTGAAAACAATTTAATCATTGTGACAAGTAGCTATTTTTCACTTTGAAGATCAAAAAATTATGGTCTGGAGTAGGAACCATTGTTTGGATTAATTAGGATAAAAAAAATCATAAGTACCGAGGTACCATAGTAATGATCAAGTTTGGGTTACCTCACTCAAAAAGTTAAAGATTTTTGGCAGTTTGTATTTTGGGCAAGAAATTTCTATCAAAATGGGATCTCAGTTAGTATAGATACTCTAGAGCATGGTTTTTAGTTGGTCAGGAAAAAATGACACTAACCTGTCCCAGGATACCTTGGATGAATTTACAAGGCAGGAAATCTTTATGCCCAATAGCTTGACTTTAATGATTAAATGTTGAGTGGGGACATCAATGGCACATATTTTACTCATTCACTGCAAGCAGTCCTGACAAAGATATTTGAAACTTGGCTTATGATGGTAATTGATAGCATTCATGGTGTATACCGATACATTCTAACTTTTAGTGGTGCCTTCTTTGAGCAAGTGATTACATTTGGTTCCATAATTTGAAGCTGAGTTTCCTGTTTGAGGCTAAGTTATGATGACCCTTTTAATCATAAATCTTCGGTCTTTTGTTGAATACTCTGCCTCAAATTTTTTTGTTTTATAACTGAATCAGCAATGTCTTGAAATGTAATTTCATTCACATGATAATATTGCATTATCAAACAATTAGATAGCTACTTTTTATAGTTATGCATGGTGGTACCTCAGTGTTTTAATGCATTACAAGTTAAACCAATAGAGATCTTATCAAGTAATTTGAGATAAAAAAATACACATTTCCTTGAAAACTCAACAAAAGTTTTGACGTCAAAAACCCACTTATTTGCAACTAATTTGTTCAGCCTGGCACATCTTGCCAATCAGTATGAAACAAGATCTACAATTGAAGGACCAATCATGCACTGCTTTGCCCATATATTTAAATTATTGTTGGAAATAAAGCTAAATATTAACCCATGTACATGTGCCATTCAGAAGCCATTGGGGGATACTGTATGTAGTGATAAGAAAAAACAGCAAAAACCAATATTGAACCGAAATAAATTATTATCTAGCACGCACATGTCTTTAATTCTGCTGAATAGTATATGTAGCATGTTAAAGCAAATAATCTTGACTTTTATTTATAACAAAAACTCATCAAGGTTATAAAGGCTGCCTATGTTGCACACATGCCACAAAAGCAGAGATCTCAAATAGTGGTAAATAATCAAAAAGCCAAACCTTATTAATAGAAAAAAGTTACGTACTACACATTAAAAACAACAGTTAACAAGATTATAAGGAAATTTTTTGTTTGTAAGGAAGCAATATTTTAAGCCCAATAAGTAATATAAATTTGTATCAATTTTTATGAGACATAAAACAATTTATAAATGTTGTTCACTCAATTTCTTAATGGATTATATAATTCATTTGGTTTTTGCTACACTTCCGGAAGAGTTGTGGTCAATAACCAAGGCTCTACTGTGATTATCTTTGCATAATAATCATATATATATACAGTACTTGGTTTTAGTATGGGAAGGTAATGATTACAATCTTAGCATTAAAATCTCATAACACTAATTGCATTAGTATTCAATTGTTTATATATCTACTTTAGATATTGAATAGCAAGGTTATTGAGCAAGTATAATATGCTATTTTATAGCTCAATCTTCATTATTTATTCTCTTTATAGTCATTAATTAGTCATTTTAGCAATTTCAGTCAGTCATGCATTGATTTTTCAGATATTTCTTTAAATTTTCCTTTGTAGACTTGAACTTTAAATAAAATATGCAAGATCATTTTTACTGCTCCACCAAATAGTCACCCGTCTAAGCTACTTATATGCAACTAACTAACCTATCTTTTACAATTACAAAATCAAAATTAGTTAAATAGTTACAATTACAACACTACATTACATTATACATGTTATATCCAATACTTTCTTAGTTATTTTATTATACCTGTTATTTATTATTACTAGCCTCTTATTATCCTTTCTTGCTGTTGTTGGTTCTCTAGAAAAGGGCAAGGTGAACAAAGGAAAGGGTGGCCAAAAATACTGCTATATCTCCAGGAGTTGCCCACAATGAGATGCTGAGGGTCATAGGAATGAAGGACAGGCAAATAAATAATGTGTAGGCTAAAAGGGATCACCACACTCATGGCAGGGAATGCTAGGAGTTCCTACAATGCTGCAGGTGTGGGATTCCAGTAAACTAAATTGGTTGGCCTGGGAACCTGGGAAGAGCTATGCCAGTGGTGAGGGCAAGGATGCCAGTCTTCTGTGGAGGCCATGGGTTAGAGTGAGATCAGCAAATCACCCAGTTGATCCCAGTGGTCTCAAAAATCCAGGCAAACATCTCTTGGTGCAGTGTGTTTTGCCACCTTGTATGGGCAGGCATGCCTGATGTCATCTGTTCTTCTGTTAGGAGGGGGTTACATGGTTGCCAAAACTGGACCAAACGGAAAGAAAGAGCCCTTAGGTGTTAGGACTATAGCCTTGATCATGATATATACAGATATGGTCATTTTGAGGGGCAAAAGTGTAATCAACTAATGACTATTCCACCAGGACCCAGCCTTTCAGAAAACTCCTGGCCCTGGGATTACAATTATTTTGTGTAAAGGAAAATATTTGGCATCACCCACTGAGGCACAGACACCCAGAAGACAGTATGAACATTCATTCCTTTAATTCTTCCCTTTACCTTAGCAAATGAGAAGAAAATTTTCATAAATCTTGTTATGCAGGGTGTGTACCAGTATTTAGAAAACAAAAATCCATGACTTCCCATGACCTGGTTTCAGTGATCTTTAAATGATGACTGAAAAGAAAGTAGTTGGCGCAGCAGAACCAAACTTTGCCAGAACATGTACAAGATGTGTATTGTGTATCAAACCTACACATCCACTTGTATATTTATTTTATCTTACAATTTATTATAAATCCATTTTTCTCCACTGGTTCCAAATGGAACCACTTGCCATTAATGGGTTTGGGTTAACAAATGCAGCACAGAAAAACACTTTCTTTTTTCTTCATTTATTTGCAAATTCCATGACTTTCCATAATCTGGAATGAAATTCCATGACTTTCCAGGCCTGTAAAATGAAAAACCAAATTCCATGACTTTCCAGGTTTTCCATGACTGGCCACTGTGCAGAGAGTGGCCAGAATGTCAGCTTTAAGATGAGACTAAACACGTAACTGCAGCACAACTCAAGTAGACACTATATTTAAAGAGCTCAGCAGCTAATTAGTTCCTATCTAATTACTTAAAGAACTCCCCCACCCGCCCCCTTTTCATGAAATGTCGTGAAATCATAAATCAACATAGAGAGATGGCAGTGGTATCGTTGGATAGGGCAGAATGTCCGCTTTAAGGTGAGACTAAAAACCGGAAAAGCCAAAATTGTCGATTTTGGACCCAGACGCTCCCTTTAACACTTGCTGTACAATTGGACTGTTTTTAGGGTAAAATTAGTTATTTGGGGTAACACATGCATGCAACCTTGTAAATAAGTTCGTAGCTTGTAAATAGTTTTTCATTACTCAGCGTAAATGGCTTTTCATTAAAAATTACCTGGTGACGCATCTTAAAATTACCCGGCGACGCTTAGGGCTTAAAAACCCATATATTAGCGAAGCTGCATCCACCCTCTGCACCCTGGATGACTAGTACGCAGCATAAATGGCTTCTCATTAAAAATTACCTGGTGACGCATCTTAAAATTACCCGGCGACGCTTAGGGCTTAAAAACCCATATATTGGCGAAGCTGCATCCACCCTCTGCACCCTGGATGACTAGTACGCACCCTGGTTATGAGATGAAATTGGATTATAGTTAACAGCCAACAGGTCAAGTTGGAGAACCTGGCAGGCTGGCATCAGTGAGACTTGTGAAAATCTTGGGAGACATTAGAATGATTAGACCTGACATTATTTGGCATCTCCAACAACTTAAAAAGTCACCATATAGGTAGGATATTTTTGCAGGAATCCACCACTCCTATAGAAAAAATAGGAAAATGTCAATAACAAATTTCTTATTGCCACCAAAGTTAAACATTTTATAAAACAACAGAATACAAACACACTCAAAAACCACATTTGTTCCCAATTCCAAATTTCCAATAAGCAAAGCTGGTGGAAAGACTTGGTGGAAGGCTGATCAGTATCCAATGGCAATTGGCAATGATCATTGCTGAAGGGCCTGAAGCTAGTATTGACTATTGAGGCTCAATCATCTTAAATCTTGTTTTAAAACCTTAAGCCAAACACTGATTAATTATTTAACCTTCTAAGAGACTAAAGAGAGTAAGGCTAAATTGCTGTTTAATACCTATTTCTCTCCACTTTGAAAGGTTTTAGAATGAACAACTGTTTGTCAATTATCAGTCTGTCACTGTGATAGCGCACTGTGCAGTGATACTGTCACTCTGTCAGACTCTGTGCAGTTCTGGGGATCTGGGCTTACCCTTACTTACTTTTACTATAACTCTATAACAATAAGACAGGCTTTCCCAATCCCGGACTCAAAGGCAAGGCAAAAAAGTCAGAAGCTGTTAGTGTTGATGCCTTGATGGCACATATTAACATAGCCTATCCCGTCTCGGCGTCTCCGACAGAGGTCTGCTCTGATAGGACAGCTCTGTCATGTGGATTGTGGAAAGCAGCACTGCTAAGTGCTAACTGCTGTAGTCTAGTGTCCTTCACTAAATTCACAATACCCAACCCTACCAACACAAAAATATCATTCAGGCTCAACTTCATACCAGATGCAGTCATGTAGCTGCAATAAAAACAAAGAATCCTCTGTCTGTGTAATGCACTTCCTTCCATATTGTTTACACTTCAATCTTCATGTCATATTGTCATTTAGAAACGAACTGGCATATCGGATTATATTGTCCGTCAAATATTTCCTGGAAATAGCATTTCCGCGGAGGAAGAAATTTTTTGCTTCCGGGTTCTTGATAGTTTTCTAACAGCCCCTATCAACTACCATTTCATACCAAAAATATTTAATATTCTAACACAATATCAGTAGAAATATATAAATGCTCAATCAAAATTTTGTTTTTGGGCTCTCAAATAAAACGCAAAGTAGCAATTACAGCTGAAAATCAGAAAAGTTACGAACTAATATTTTTTTGTTCAAATCCACCATCAATAAATATTACTTAATATTTTGTTCTATTTTTCAACTCGTAATATTACTTAATATTTAAGAATTGCTTACATGAACTTGACTTGAAAAATAGCGTGGATAGTAAGCAGATAAAAGTATTAGCGGAGTAGTTTATTAGATAAATATACTAGCGCAACTTGTATTAAAAGTTACGGCAGAATATTTGTAGATCAAATCCACTAATGACTAGAACTAATACATTTATCAATAACAGAAAGCACATTTCCGTTTTGGTGATGTACACATAGTGACAAGTAAAGAAATTACACTTCAAAGTAAAGAGAATAATGCAAGTTAGCACAACACCCGCACTTTTTATGTGCCTAAAATAAATCCACAGCTCATGGAATAATGAGTAAAGAAATCAGTAAAACCATCAGTCCAACGAGATATCAGTATCAGTTCATTGAGAAATCGGTAATACGCCAGAACATGCTACTCCACAAGATACCCTGCACATCTGCAGCTCTCTAACATCGTGACCTAAGAACGCTACCGTTCTAACTAAAATCCCCCACGCATCGAATTTTAGAAGAAAGCTGCTTCAACAATTTACTCATGAACGACTCAAGAAGCGATAACGAGCTGCTCAATCTAGCACCATGAGAATATTTCAACGGCATACACTTCCTTAGTTTGCATTTGACTGAGTAAACAGGCCAATATTCCAATTTGTGAAAATATAGAGCATCCAACATAATACAATCGATGATGAAGCCTAACACTTTTCATATCTCGACAGTTTGATTTAAATCTTTAAGAGCAGCTTACCTAACAATAAATAATGGCTAAAATAACTGCAATCACATTCCGCATAGCGAGATATACAATCCATCATTTTCATGAGTGATAGCAGTGATATTTTGACAAAAACTTCCTTACGCTCCACAACAATCTTCATAGCAATGAAAACAAAACATTTGATATTGATTGGTTGAGAGAACTCGTACTAACAGCACGTTGAAGCTGGCAAAGTGCCCCAGAACAGAAAATAAAACGAAGTAGAAGGAATTGATGACGGTGTCCCGCCCAAGGTCTCTTGCGACGGTTCAGGCCAAGAACGCGAATATAAAGAAGCCAATCCCGATCAACCACAGGGAAACAGTCGGGCGGATCTAGCAGGAACAAAAATCACCCTGTAGGGCATCTAGGAAGCAACGGGATTATTAGAAAGACTGAAAGAAAATTCAACAATGAAAACGGGCATCTAGGAAGCAACGAGATTATTAGAAAAACTAAAGAAAATTCAACAATGAAAACTAAGCACAACTGCTTAAACGGACGTTAGAAAAAACGCTCATCTTTTCACAAACGAACAGAGAATAAACTGCCACATCGAACGCTGATTGAATTCAAGTGAGCGATGTATGTACACAGGAAAAAAGGCACTTAATAAGAACATCCTTTCATAACTAAAGATACAAGACCAACTCCCGATTTAGGATCATTGCAACTACGATGATATTTGATTGAATGTGATTAATGCATCATAAAAAATTTATAGCCGCGAGATTTGAAGGGAAATAACGTAAGAAATTACTACTGCTTCGACAGAAATAACTAGCTTCAAGTGAAAATAATAAAAAACTTCAATGTATTTAAGCCGAAAAGTAGAAAAGACTACCGAGATAACCAAATTGAGAAGAAGTGGGGCAAGAAACTTGCATGAAAGTTCACAATTTTTACACGACTTTTACGAAGATGAAGTACTATTAAATTAGGTATTTATATTAGATATCGCGTCTTCGAGGCACCACATTCAATTCACACACAACTTCTGCTATCGAGGCAAAAATCGACCCAACCGCATCGCAATTCCAGTCTCCGTCGCCACCGCATCGCAGTTCAACAGCCTTGCACAGCAACAGAGAGCTTGTATTTGACGACGTTGTTCTCCCAGTAGTTAATGACGATGAGGTGACCACATGGTGTGAGGAAGAGTCCCGACGGGCGTCTCAAGGGCCGGTCCACGGGCAATACGCACATGAACTCGCCAGTCTCAGAAAATATCTGTCGCGATATTATCGGTGAGAAGACCTTTATTTAGTAAATAACATCACCATCTTAAAAAGCATATATTAGCAGGTAGCTGACATTCTGCAAAGAATGTCAGTCAATGATGATAGTTTCAAACTATTATTCCTCACGACGAGTAGAAGAGCTTGGTAGAAGTTATGATTAATTAGTTGAGTTGGCAACCATGATCGAAATAGTACTAAAATTGAAATAAAATTACATTAAAAAGAATAACCGGTTAAAATAAACAATGATTTCATTAACGGCATAACTATTAACTTTATGGAACAAGTAAGATCAGTTCAACATGCGGCACTAGCGAGACCAGCTAATATGCTGCTCAATACAATACCTGCAGCCACTCCACAGACCAACGAAGAACCATTATAATGCAGACACCTTTACGTGCCACTTACTGAAAAATAGCAGCATTATACAGTGACATTTATATATAACCACAATTCCTGTGAACGGTCAAACAGATCGCCACAAAGCGCAGTATTGATTTTCATGCACAGCACAACACAGGCTGTAATGTAAATGATTAAAAAATCGTCACAAATGTGTGCATTGACCTGTACTCGGTGGTTGCGCGAGTCTCCAATGATGATGAAGCCATCTTCGTCGCACACAACGCCCGAAGGATCACGGAATTGCCCCGGACCCGAGCCCGGCGATCCGAAAGTGCGCAGCACTGACCCGTCTTCCATCGCAACCATCGCTACTAGGTCTAAACCTGACCAAGGTAAAGAATCGGGCATTGAAAGCTAAAGTTATCAATATTTTGGATAGACCGTTAACTTATTTTAGACAATTAGCAGTGAGGTTTTATTTAGAGTGTCATTATATAGACAAAAACATTGCAAGGGATGAACATTTAAAACACACAAACGAACCAATTGAACCAAATTGACCTCAGACTTGATGTCAGCCTTGCAAATGGTAATAACTTGTCATAGAAATTATCAGATGTAAGTTATGATGTTCCCGCAAAAAAAGATGAGTAACAGCATTGCGATTAACTTCTTTGTTGGCACTCAAAGCTATATATATATAACCAGTATATATATATATACAACCAGTATATATTTCAATAAAATTTGCTCTTCAATCATGCGCAAGCTACTCTTCTTATAAATACATAATGCATGCCCAATTTGCATGGTGGTAACCTTGCAGTAATCTAAAAAATTCGTCAAGATTTGTTAACACATACGAAATACAATTGCAATAAACAACTTACCCAGATCAACCACAACCAGAACATCGTCCTGGTGGTAGGCTATAAAGCGTGGCTTGCTGCTGAGCCTCTTCTGTTCATTGGGCACGAGGTTGAATGGTACACGAGTTAGCATTTTAGTGACAAGGTTGATCTTTGTGATGACCGGCAAATTACCTCCCGTCTCCACAGTCACTAATATTCCTTTGTCATCCATTGTCAAACCTGAAAAATCAAGTGACATTTATAGCACAATTGGTACATATAGAGCTCATAAAAATCTTTCTCAAATAAAAATTATTTCTTCTTAAAACAAGAAACATTTGCAGACAGCATGTCACTCAATCACCTATTACATATGGACAAGATGAAAGATGATGAAAGCTAATTTCAAGCAAGTTCGTTGTTCAACAATAAAATCATTACCAGCTTGCAACAAATGTTTAGATGAACTAAAGCTATCTTTACCACCTACAAGAACACTCGCTTGTTTACAAACAGAATGAAATATTACACACAAGAGTAATTACGTACACTTTTCTCATGATAATAAAAACCATACTAACCATAAGGATGTTTCAGTCTCTGAATAATGTCTATCTGATCGTAGTTGGAATTATAGACATGTATGTTGAACTTGTCTTTGACTGCAAAGAAAGGCTCGGCAGGGACATGATCTCCAGGTGCTCTAATTATTTCAGGAATGAGAACAGCAGCAGAAGGGTTACACATTGGCGGTGTTCCTTTTATAATGTGATAATATTTACCATCTTCTTCGAACCGCACCAGTCGATGGTTGAACGTGTCACAAACAAGAACGCTGTGGCTGTGGCAAAATGTGTGAGCAATTTAAGTATCCTAATGGTTACAGGAAATAGGTAGAAAATTTTTGCATGGCTATCTAATAAATTTTGATCCATCTAGTGAATCAAACATTAATATATATTAAAATGTGATAACTTAACATATAAATTCATTAATTTAGAATAAACAATAATATAGACTTCATAAATATATATATAAATCAGTTAACCAAGATTACAGTTATCACCATAGCAATTGACAATTACTCACTCTGGCAATTCCATTACTCCAACAGGATATTTGAGCCCTTGGCTTTGCATAATTACTGACTTTGGCCCTCCATAGACTGCCACACATGTGGCCGAGAGCTGGTTTCTTATAAGGTCCATTACAGAGCTTGAGGGAGGGGACCTTTCTTCTTCTTCCTCATCTGAAGCCACTTCTACATGAGAGTTCATTGTTCTTCCAGGGAACAATTGAATACAATTTAAACAAATTTGATACCTTCACTAAAGAGATAAATAAAATCATTAGGAAGAATTCATCCCATTTTCAGAACATGTTTGAAAAAACAATAAATGAGCACTATTAAAATACCTACATATACATGTATATGTTAGTAAAATATTGTGCATGTGCGTGTTTGTGTTTTCAAGGTGTCTATAAGTAAAAGGTTACCTATATCATGCAGAACAGTCCTGTCAAACTTCATTTCCTCTGAGAAGATTTGTCAGAGGACTGACTTTGTTACAAATTTCTCTTTAATAATTAATTTATTAAATACCTTCAAGTTTCAACCAAGACTATCAACAATATTCTAGCCAGTGAATATGGCCATTGGTCAATAGATAGCAGGACATATTTATTTACTTCAATAATTAAGTTTCGGTCTATGAAAAACAAGTCATCACTATAGAGTCCAACAAAAAATTATCAATCTAGTGAACTGGATTGACAATGTATACCTATATTATTAACATTATTAAGAGCTGTTCTATTTTATGTATTGATCAAACTATAAACTGTATTTTTTGGCTGTCCTTAAGAGTTATCATTGACAAGTGGCAAATTAAATGCAGTTGCAGCAGAAACTCAGGTCACTGATGATTGTTTTGCAAAAGTGATGCACCAAGAGCAAAAACTTGGCAAACTCCAAAAGCTGAAACTTTATGTTTCTAAGATCAAGCATTCAAAGTTGATTTGGTATCTGAAACACAATTTACTAACACTGACTACCTTCTATAACTGTGATTCATAAATAAATGCTTAGTATAAATAGAGTCATTAGCGCGAGATCAACCTATTTGCTTCATCATTGAAAAATATATATAATAAACTTGGCTGATCTGAAGGTTGTAGTTTTGAGATGAATGAGAAGAACTTTAGTAAAAGAGGATAGCGCCTCTCTGCGCCAATCTTGGTACTTACTTTAACCACTGGGCCACCCTGCCCTATAACTGGCAAGTTACCTGGCAGAGGGTTGTGAATTGCATGATTGGAGCAGTGAGCTGTGGGTTTAAAACCCTCCGTCAAGCTATATAAATTCTGCAATGTCTAGAATGGATGACATGCCACACCTTGCCTCTTCAATGTGTATCAGCATTAAATAGGCAAAATGTGGCCTGTCATCCATTCTAGACATTGCAGAATTTGTACAGCTTGAGCTATCTTGTAAGTTTCAACAAATGTCTAATCTACCTTCCATTTCAGAATGGTTAGACAAGTATAAAAAAATATTTCATCACCTTTTCTCTGCAGTTTTCTTTCATAACCTCAAGAAATAACATAATATTTATTACATAACTATACTTTATTTGCCAGGGAGTTGTGCCAACTGTACTTTTAGCATGTATAGTCTAGGACTAAAAAAACAAGTGCAATTCTTCAATTCTTTTGGAGAATTGCACTGAGAACTGTGGAATTTTCACCAAACCTCAAAAGTACTACTAGTATATATATGCTCAAAAATTCCCAGGATTGTAATGCTACTAGTTTCTAGTAGGGAAGCTGAATTATTCAAAACTGAAAGAAACCCATATGTGCTTTAAAAATATAACTCAGTACTCGCTGCAGTGAGTGACAGAGTGTGCATTTTCTCATCGCCGAAAACGTGAAGTCATGGAATGACAGACAGATGGACATGGTGAGCACAATAGTGCATTTTTTTCATAAAGGAGAAAATGTGCTAAAAATACCAATGTGTTAGAAAAAACCTACTTGTAAAAATTTTTCTTAGTATTTTGCCTTCAAAAATTATATTCACCTTGAGGGTTTGATCTTCTTCCCTCATTACCAGCCTTCTTGTGTTAGGTATGTCAAGACTTGAGTCTACTTAAGGAGCTCAAATATCAACTGGTTACATGACAACACAGACAAAAGTGTACAGACTTGACTTCCCTCATTTCACACACCTGACTCTGTAGGCATTTAGTAATGAATATTTCTATCACTGGTGTTATGGACTTTCTAGTTCATTTATGCCATAAATAATATAAAAAATGAAATCGTGGTCTTTAAAAGCATACTATGCCTAAATATAATTATATAAAAAAAGTTTTTCTAAGATCAATATTGGTTTCTTTTATGTTTTACTGTAAGAAAATCCAGCATGCAAATTAATTTAACAGCAAATTTGAAATTGATGTTGAAGTTACAGTTTACAACAGTTTGAAAAAATCTCTGTAAAGTTCATTGCTCCAGCCAAAAATTACAAAATAAGTTTTAACAATTTATACAAAAGTGCTAAAATCAGAAATGTACTTTGATGTGAAGGAGATAACTGGGTCACTTTTTTTATTTCATTGCATCCAAATAGATCTGGATTCTGGAATGACTATAGAACAAGTTGGGGGGCTAGTAATGTTTAGATAATATTTCAACAGGCAGGTTTTCTTCCAACTACTATTGCCTTGAGTTTTTTTCAGAGTCTGGGACTATTTAAATGCCAATGAGCTGCATGTCTGTTGAATCATAAGGTCCAATCCAATTTTTCCATACAGCATAATGTCAACCAAAAGAGTGATGTGATACATTAACTTCATATCCTGTGCTTTTTGTCACAAGAGTGGCATTTTCATTGCAGATGACAATCATTTTAAATTACCTAATACTAACAATATCATCCAGGACACTGGTCACACATTGTTCTGTATACTTGTACAGGACATTGTTCTGTGCTGATTTGCAACACATCTTTGGTATCATCTCTTTGGTTTGGATGCTGCATGCCTGGCTTATCCATCAATTATCATTTTTAACCTGATTTACCTGATTAAAATTTATATCTTTTCAAGAGAAATCTTAATTTATTTCACAAGACAACAAATCCTAGTCTTCAACAATTCAGTTTTATGATATTTAAAAATTGTTTTATGGCATTCCAAGTTATTTATACAAAAATTAATTTCAAACATGAAGTTAAAGCCTTAAAAACATATATTTATTTATAAAATGATAAGGTTTTTACAGAGGTAAGTGTTCACTATATATTGCATTTTGAGGGACTATATATAAAATGGAATAGAGATTTATACTGAACTGTAAATTTGAAAAAATTTCAGACAATGAGTTTATTCTAGAATAGAAGTGTCAGCGCTGAAGAAATAGGCCCATGGCCTATTTAAAATTTAAAAATGTAAAGTTTATTTCTTCCAGACAGATGTATTAAACTTGACCAAAAATTTAATAGTCAAGCCTCCTGGGACTTTTGTTAGCACAAATATCACAAAATGCATGTTTATATCAAGGAGACACCTGGTGGTCACTTAATTGCTTTTGTATTAGTGAGACATTTCTTCAATTACTTAAGAGCAAATTAGTGTACCTAGTAGGCTAGTTTTATATTTTCATGATTGGAAAATTTTTATAGCCTACTTTGAAGAAAATTGTTTTCAAATTTTGCTAGACAGGGGCCATATTACCATAACATTACTTTGTGAATGTAGTTACTTTCAGTGTGCACACTGCACATACTTTTAAGACAACGCCAAACAGTGGTATTATCTCAACATGTACAAGAAATTGTAACTAGGTGAACACTTGGAAGTTGCCTAAGTGGAGATACTCGACTTTTGGATGGGTGCAGCAATTAGTGTATTCCAGTGGTGCGACCGTGCGACACATTCAAACTTGAATAACTTAAGTTACAGACAAGGCAGCGAGATCAGGGCTAGTGCGCTGCTCTTGTCTGAGCGAGTTCTACAAGCTTCTGACATAAAAACAGTGAGCCTCTATTGGTGCATGTCACCTGGGATGGAAACTTTCATCTTTCTACGCAAAGTGCACCATATGAGATACACAGCATTCATTATTTAACTACAATAAAAAATTTACATCACAGGTACTAATGCTTGAAAAAAACATTTTCTGTGCAAATGAAATTGGATTGTGACTGCAATAATCAAACTACAAATCATTCTGGGACAAAGTGCTGCTAAATGGGAAGTTTATAATTCATTTAGATGATTTCTTACAAAACTGCTCTAAGCAAAGCATGAAGTGGTACCAATAACTGTTCAAGTTTTTGTCAAAAACTGTAGAAAATGCCTGGGTGCTTGGTTATCAGTTCTATAGTGAGCAAAAATTGATGTGAATTGCTGAAGTCGTTGAAGATTACTGAATGTATTTTCACTAGTAATAGGTCAGACACGTGAAGAAATGTTTCTATAACCAAACCACAATGATTTTAGATGTTGGCGTTCCAGCTCTAAATTATTTGAAGCTGAGCATCTGAACTTCATGCCATGACGAGCTACTGATCTCAGTCTTGCTTTAACATAATTGCAAAAAAGGATGTTAGCTAGTGCTAAAGTGAGATGAAAAGCTAGAAAAGTAACTAACAATTGCTAGCCCAGTACTCAGAATCTGTATCACTGTTTATCTTGCTTTTTACAGTGCCTTTCTGTTTTTGTGTGAGCTTAGGAAACTTTCGAATTACTAATACTTATTTTTCTACTGCTATAATCCATACCAATACTGAAAAAACCAACCACTAAGATTCTTATGATTTGATTGCATGACGTTCATATAGGTTTTTGAAAACATTAGTGTCAATTATCCATCATATTTGTCACAAGTTTATGATCTGGCTGATATTTTAAAGAGCTTTTTTTAAAAAATTAAATTTTTTAAGCATGCGCCATATATGGCGCACATTGCAGTTTGGGATATGCATCATGATGCATGTGTGTACCATATATGGCGCACGTCATAGTCAAAGTGTTAAATGCAGATACTACTATCTTTGTAGGTAACAAATGTTTAGACTTTAGTCTACCTCCTATTTCATAGTGTTAATTCTAATTCCAATTAAAAAAATTCATCACTTTTTTCTCAGCATTTTCCTTTGCTCCAATTTCAGAATGTTGCTTTTATTTCAGAATCAGCAAGGGCAACTGGCAAGTGTATATTGAAGTGCACTGCCTCTGCCACATTGCCAACAGTAATCTGGAAAAAAAAGACAGTTGTGCAGGTGCTTTCATTATTATAAACACTCAATGTGTATGTGATTTTTTTCCTTCAAATAGCTTTCGTGGTGTGCATTATATTAAACTCTTATTGGTGGCATGATTTGTAATTAATTCATGAATGTTAATTTGTTGTGTTTGACTTAGAGACAAATTTCTAATGAATTATTATTTGGTTTAATTGTAATCTCAAAGTGTTGCAACCTTCATTCTTGATTCTTTCAGCTTCAGTTCAGGTACCTACAAATTTAAATTTAATCCCTCCTATTTTTATCCTTTCTCTGAAATTTCACACTTGACTAAAATTTTTGGACCAAGAAAGTGGCAGAGGTGAATCAAAAATAATATACCTATGGGCTATGAGCCATAATTTTTAGAAAATTAGAATTCCACCCTGCGAGTGAGGAGTTGCATGCCAAATTAATTCGCAATAAACTTGAAAAGGTAGGCCTATCAACTATCAAATTGCATGCAATTGTAATGCATCATGCCTTAGGTACCTAATAGGTAATAGCTACCTTATACGATATCTGACAAAAATGTCTAACAAATAATATTTTAGCCTAGGCAATAGGCTAGCTATTGAGTATGGAATAAAGAAAGGAATTGGAAACCAATATGTGACTCATGTGAGCATTAGGCTTAATAATTTATACAATAAATATATTATATAGCCTACATGCAGTCGAACAGATGCAATCAAACTGAAACTGATTAGCCTAGCTAAACATAAAAATTGTAGGTAATTCAGGTATGATAATGGTAAATGGAACTTGCAGTTGAAACTTGAAAGATTGAAAGTATGGATCAACAAAGATAGGGGTCATAGGGCAATTAGTGAATTTCCAATATCAACTTTCAATCATTAGGTAGGCTAATAGGCTAACCAAGTAAACCAACAAATTACCAAATAGGCTATTCTCAAAATTTAAATTGAAAATATGTAGGTAGGTACTACGTACTAGGTATTAGTGATTAGTCTTATACTAGTGATGAATGATGATAATAATAGTACCTAGGTTAGGTATCCATGAACTGCTAGGACTGTTCCTAATTTAATATAGCTAACTTTGATATTATTTTATAGTTTCTTTCAAGTGGCACTGGGCCACTGACCTTAGTTAGTGGCCAATAATGTATTAGGCCTATCAACATTATTGCAACTTGCTAGACCTTGAAAAGAGAATGAAAATTCGTTTCTTATTTGCCCCAAGCCCCCAAAGCGGCAATGGCCTAACCAATTTGGCAATTAGTAGGTACCAATCACGTAAAAGCAGAATATTAAATAGAATGTTCTGACATGAGGCAAGTAACGCATCATCACAATACTTTATAATAAAAAAATTTTCGAATTACCAATTTATATCAGGAGCCAGAACTAAATTAATTTATTTTCAAGGTGTCGCACAGTCTCACAGAACCAATATCAAGCCTCCGTACTCCGTTCGTTCTCAAGGTTACGAACTTACAACGTTAGATTAAGATAGGTAAGTACGCAATTACACTCCGAAATGTTGCCATCTAAAAAATATATTAGAAACCCTTCAGTTTAAAACGACACATAGCTATACTCATGGTTGAATGTATTAATTCAACCATGGCTATACTTATTGCATTTTGACTACAGTAGAAAGAAAGTTGAAAATATGTAGAAATGTTATTGAATTATTATGAATTAAAAATTTTCAAATAATGTAATAAAACAGGTTTAGTGGCGTTTCAACAGAAATATCTTTCATTGATTACAGTGAAAAATATACAACAAAGGAAAACTAAATGTTCAGATAAAAACAAATTTCAAATTCAAAAATTTATTTTAAATATCAAGTAAAAAAACTCCCCATAACATATTTAGCTTCAAAACACATACAACCTAGTATAGTTGATAAAAAGTTCACATTGAGGTAAACTAATAATAATAAAACTTCAGCATAGAGATTCTGGCAGCAATCAATAACTGACATTTATTGTTCCAATTAAGATTCGCACCAGGTAAATGAAATTTTCAAGTCTTTCGAATTCAATTCCAACAGTTACTTATAGACTCATAAATAAAAAAAAAATAATGTAACGATCAATCTTCTACAGCGTAAAACATTTCAAAATATTTTAACACAATTCCACGCGGTCTTTAATAAGTCAGTGATCTTTGTTCACACGTTTATGATGTTGAAAAGTTTTGATGTGATTTAGCTTTATACGTCTGCAATTGAAATTAATCGTTCGTAAATCAACATTCTATTGCATGGTATTGCGTTCGGCGACGCAAGGAATTTGTTTCAACTCGCCTAGGAATCACTATCGTTCAATGAAAAAAGACAACCATTATTGGCAGAGGTTGAGATGAAGAGGCGAGAACCACGGAACCCTGGATTCCAGTTGATTTTCAGTTGGATTCCAGTCGATCTTCAGGTAGATTAATTGCCACCCCTGGCCCATGAGGGGTACTCGCAGCCCTGCAGGAGGTTCAGAAGAAAGTTTGGTATGAATATAATTTTCTTCATCCAATATTAAACAGGATAACCATCATGAAAATTTAACTTGTGACAAAATCTATATTTTGCTGTGTACGTATAATTAAAACTACCGACCTCTGAACGAGATAGAAAAGCATGGTTTTGCTATAACTATAATATAATAATAATATAGCGGTTTCAGCGTTTATTAGGCTGTAAGCCTGTCGCCGATTATCAACATTGCAGAACTGCAGAACATCCACAGCTTGTTGCGGGCTTGAACTCGCAACTTCGTCTTCAAATTTTCTTTGCTTGACCGCCTGGCCTCCTTGCCGACTCTGACCAGAAATTAGGGCACAGAGCTGGGATCGAACCCGCACCTCTCAGCAACAATCTTGGTACTTTGAACTTTAGAGAATATCCACATCGCTCATACTAAATATTAACATACATGTATATACCGACAAGTTATTTGATATCAACTGACCCTGCCCTGGGTGACTTTCTTCATGGTTGAGGCGGCGATGCCCATCTTATTCTTGAAGATCTCCGTGCAGATGTTGGTGGCCTCAATGCTGGACGCGGGCTTCTTGGTGAGCACCCACGCGAACTGCGCCTTGAAGGCTACGTACTGCAGGCACGACTCGAGGCACGCGTACGTCGAGTAGTCCGTCGCCACGATCTATTACACAAATCAATCAATCAAAATTAATAAATACTAGTGGAAACAATGATAAGAGGCACTCATATCCAATACGACTGACTAGTACAATTCATCAACACAAACAATATGAGTTTTAGCAATAATTTGAGCCCTAAAACAAACCTAAGCAAAACATTTCGCACTCAGCTAATACACAGCAAATAAGTCAATGGGCACCTAAGGCATAAACTAACTTTGAGAGGAGCTTCAGGAACGCCGGTTGACACGACTGTGAGCGGCTCGTTGGGTTTGTTGGACTTGATGGCAGAGTTGACGACAGTCTCCTCGCCTGCTGCGTTCTTGCCGAACGCCTGCACCGCCAGGTTGTTGTCGGCTGCGTCGGGAGGAGAAATGTGAAATGTTACATAGCAGCAAATATTTCGCGCAACAACTTCGATAATAATAATACAACACTAATCAACTCGACATTAAATAATAACAATAATCTACACGACAATCGAGAAAAGTAACCAGTAAGCAGCTTGTGAACATCATACTAGCCGCTATAACGTGTGAAAAAGTAGAACGGAGGCCAATGTTGCTTGTACATATCATAAAATGAACGAGTAAAACTGCAACCAAATTCATACAATTTATTATTGTTCCGACAGATCGGTAAAACTCTACAACTCAATTCTAACATGGTTGGTTAATAATATTCTAAATACGTTTTTTAGCTCTTGACTTTACGAATAAAACTTATTCCAGATTCCGGTCGTTCACCTGTATGATTTTCAACCATCCTAAGAAGATGTGTTTCATCGTAAAGATGTGTTTCGTTAACCAGTGCTTGGCAGTAAAAACCAGACACGCGCGTTACGCAACCAGAAGAACAAGCTACATGCGACATCAGATTTACGTCTATCTACTTTTATCTCAAGAAACCAAGAAGAATTCAAGGCTATATACATGCAATTTATCCGCAAAGAATTATAATTAAGGCTATCGCAACAGCCTAGAACTAATCAGCGGGAGCTTGACGAAGTCGGCACTGGTCGCAGCGGCTGGCGTTGTTGCCTTGTTAGACGGATCCCACTCACAATGTTTTCCCTTTTTCAGTAATGTACGTCTAAAAGAAACAATTGTGTAATCAATTCTCTCTAGTTATTCTCTGTTGTCTTTATTTGCGCGTTATCTTACTTGCTTTGTTCGCCTAGAATTACCTATATTTGCCTATTGGTAGCAGCCAGCAGGTAAAAATATGCCACTAATCCCGAAGTAATGGTCCGACTAACACGGTTATTTGACCACTAACGTGTTCAGAAGTAGGCGTATCTAGCACCCGTTGGCAGCGCATGGTCATTTCGTTCGAAGTCGCAGTTAGCGGAGTTATACTTCAATTACTCAATAAATGATATACAATAATACTGAAAGCGTTCTCAAGAGATTTGAAATTGGGAAAATTGAGCCGGTGATTGTGCCGATCAATCGATTAATGTAGCGTATGCTATCCAGAATTACGAAAACTAAAATACATTGAATTCAATATACCAATGAAAATACTCGAACTAAATTATAGAAATACCACGAGGAATAATTTTGATAAGCTCTACCAAATTTTAATTCGGTAGCATTAAATTTAGTGCATGTAGCAATATGTTCCCATGCAACAACGCGCGTAGCTGATGCTCACCCGTCTGGCAGCTGAGACAAATAAGTAAATAACAACTTGTATAACAACAAACGCGTAATGCATGAATTAATGAGGACATATGTGTATTAATTTCATACTACGACCTTCATCCCATTACTTTTCGAAATTTTATATAACAGTTTAAATGAGCATAAATTTATTAGGGGGGCTCCAACGAAGCATGTTATATAACAGGTGATTCTGCCGGCAAAGAGTCTACACCACACCCTTTTCGTAACGAAATTGCAACATCCGGTTATACGTATGAACATAATTCATACAACACGTCACACTGCTTCGCTAAATGCACAGTAAATCCTCACCAGGAAAACTATTATATAAAAGCATAACAATCCTTGTTCCCAGAGTTTTGTTTTGTTCCGCTCTCATTAGATGCACGTTCTAATGCCCTTCCGTTGCATAAGAAATTCGAGACCTTCAAGGAACTTGGCCACAAGAAGTAGCCCACGCCGAGAAAAACTTGTCTCCGACCGGCGTCCGATCTTGCAGCTTTCAACCCTACCTCTTAAGCCCACAAGGTCATGAGCGATCAAAAGGCTAAGGCACTTGTAACTCCTCGTATTTTACACGCGTGAGGGCAGAAAAGTTCCTATTTATACATTGTGCTGAATTAGACGTCATTTAGAAGTTTTTAAAACTTTGTGCTTTATTTCACGATTTGAATTTCTGCATGTATAAACTTTTTAATTTCCACACAAGCATGGGTATTTTTTGCGGAAAGGTTTTCGTTAGTTCAGTCATAAGATTGCATTGCATAAACAAAAATCGATTGGCGTCATCATGGTAAGATGGACTTAAGAATCGTTGATTGTATTAACAAAACATTCGACCTTGTGACGTTTATACGAATTAATGGAATTATATTATTAACATTTACAAGTTTAAAAGAAAATTAAGTCTGGAAAGAAAATTTCGAAGAAAATGAGTTAAGTTTCTGAAATATTGAGTTGTTACAACAAGTAGTACATTTTCACAGTTGGTTACCGAATACGTTTTCTTTAAATTTCAAAGGTACTTACACGCTTTATTAAAGAGATTATCGAAAAATATATAAATAATGACGTATCCAGCACCGTTGTTTCGTTCATTTCGTAAAATGATCCTAAAATGAGCAAGAAAGCGTTTAAGGCTGTCCAACACATTGATGTTTCAATAGCTTTACACTGTCATTGGTTTTACTCGTAAACAGCTCAAGCAATTTAGTTTTATTATAATAAAATTATTTATTTGCGGTTTCAGTGTTTAGTAGGCCGTAGGCCTGTCGCCGATTCTTCACATTGCTGAACATTCACAGCATTTTGCTGTGAATGTTCAGCATTAAATAGCAAAATATCCGGCATTAAATTATTGTCCAGCATTAAATATATTCCTTGTCATTTGGATGCTAACAGTTTTGTATCAGCATTTCGTCCAAACCAACGAAACTTTTTAATTTTAATTCACTAAGATGTGCTCACCTGTAAGTAGAATAATTTTCAATATGACAAAATAATTCCAATACACATTATGAGATTTTGTCTTGCTCCAATGATACAAAAGCTGGTCAAACAGGAAGTTTTTGTACGTCCCACTACACAACATAGAGCCGTCCCATTGCCACTCGTGTAGACACTCACCATCAAGGGTGTAGATAGCACTGATATCAACAGAGGGCATGCGCAGAGGCATGCGTGTAGGCACTCACCATCAAGGGTGTAGATAGCACTGATATCAACAGAGGGCATGCGCAGAGGCATGCGTGTAGGCACTCACCATCAAGGGTGTAGTTGGTGTAGATGCAGGAGGCGAGGGCATCGTACACGTTGGGTACTCTGGTGACGGTGAACCACGTTCCTGAGAACTGATATAAAAAACAATAAATAAAGCCAAAAATATTAACTCAAAACTGAAAAACGTTAAAATCCATCTAAAAATATGTATATTTAAAATGAATATTTATGTCTACATGATGCACTACATAGTAGTTTGCATAATTGTTTTAAAGAACAGTTGCAGGAAACGTGGTAACCCTTCTGGGTTTTGTTGAATATTTTTTCCTCTTATTCTCTATGAGAGTTCGCACACTCAAAGCTCCCAACCACTTAAAGACCATGGCAAGATGAGATTCAATTCCTAGATTTTTTCAACTATATCAATGTAATAGCATAATTTTAGTGTTTATATTATTATTCGAACTAAAATTGCCCTCACTTTGGCCAAGTCAAGGTCTGCCTGAGGTGGAGTCTCAGGACAGTAGCCGAAGCCGAGGAACTCAGGGATGATCTGGCCCAGGGCTGGCGAGACGATCTGCAGCGTCACGAGCACGAGAGCTACCGTCGCGGTCATGGTGGTGCTTGGTCGGGCTGGAGAGATCAAACTTCACATCAGTTGAATCGTGTTATAAAAAATTGTCCTGTTAACAATAATATTATTATAAAATGAAGCTGCGATTGTCACGAGAATGTGGACTGGGTAATGGTGGCGCTTGGTGGGGCTGGAAATATCAAACTTCACATCAAATGAATGATTATGAATCCTGTTATAGAAAATTGTCCAATTTACAATATTATACTAAAATGAAGCTGCGATTGTCACATGATTGAGGACTGAGTAATGGTGGCGCTTGGTCTGGCGAAGGAGAACACACTTTACCTCGAATGAATTATATAAGTAATCGAAAAAATGTCTGGTGAACAATATCATTATTAAGAAAATGGAGCTAAAATGTTTATGATTACTACTATAACGTGACTTCAAACCATTCACGAATACCGTAATGGCGTTATTAATTATTCACAAAGAGGCAATCGATTTTTTCGATCGGTATTCCAAGGCTTATGAGTTTTATAAACACTAATGGTGCACAATTTTTGGTCAACAGTTTTCGTTTTTTATGCCAATTTTATAAGGGAAATTATTTGAGCAAACGATTCTGACTGAATTTGCACGCCATAAATAAAGCATCAGATGACGGAGATTTGTGTCAGCGATGACGTAAGCTATCTTGCAGTGAAAGTGAAGTTCATGAGGTCACATCGCGACTTATACCTTTTCAGGCCTCGAAACCGTTATATTTCTCTCTTTTATTTTAGTTATGTACGTAGTTTTCTTATTACAAGAAGGCATGCGATACGAGTTGTACGTTCGTAAGACTTATACCTTTTCAGGCCTCGAAACCGTAATATTTCTCTCTTTTATTTTCTAAAAACTTAATAGCAAAGAAAACTCCACAAAAATTCATAGTATCTTTAAAGAAAACGTTTCGGATACTATGAATTTTTGTGGAGTTTTCTTTGCTATTAAGTTTTTAGTGAATTTGCGATTCAAGCAAACGAGTGATATTATTTCTTTTATTTTCGTTATGTACGTAGTTTTCTTAGTGCAAGAAGGCATGCGATACGAGTTATACGTTTGTAAGACAGCGTAGTACAAATAATACGTAAACTTTTTGTCATAACCGAGAAATGCCTCAGCGAACAATAAATTCTGGAACACGAATCGAGGAATGTTGTATCGTTTGTTAGGAAAAGATTTGTGGAACAATGGCACTTTTTCATGAACTGATTACATCCCATAAATTTATTGTACGATACGGTGAAGTTTAATATGATACTAAAATAAAGAAATTTTTTAGTGAGGATTGAAGTTTTGCTTTGTTTTATTTGCGGATTTCGACGAGAAAATTATTTTTGAAGAAAAAAAAACAACTTGAAGCTGAATGCTAGGCACACATGTAGGTTCTACTGACGAATGAAACACAAATCACTGTATATATCTTGGAATGAATGAACATTCGATATTGCTGCATTTTCATGAGACCTGTCACACTGTAAACATAGACCGCACGACGACTGAATCCATCACGCTCGAAGGACGCGTTCGGTATCGTTGCGTCACGAACCGGCATCCAGTGCAAACACCACGGCAAACATTCGCACGTGACAATGGGCAAGAAAATTATATCTAGCTCTTGTTTGTTACGTATAACGTATGAATGATTATATAGCGAATTTTGATTATATATGATTTAGATTCAAATTCCAAAGCATTTAAAAGGTTAACAAAAAACGAAGTATTTAAATAGACGATGGGAGATTGTACCGCATGACATAGTTTTGTTTCAGCTGAACAATCTCCTTGCAAGACAGATAATTAAATGATTGTAGGACAATGACGACGTAAGGTTCTACGAATGGTGTGACGATATATAATTTTAACAATGGGAACACTAGTATAACAACGACAGGAGGAACGGTACAAAGTGGACATCACATTTGTGTACGACGAGGCAACTTGGCATTTGGCAAAAAGATTTGTTCGGGAATTTCCCCTTATTTTAGCTATGTCAGCGAAACACGTTAAACAGCATACAATCCACTCGCTTATATTTGTTCATTAATTGTTATATAAAGCAATAACCGGATGATTAAAATTCATTCAAGGTCAGAGCATAGAACACGATTCCGACTTCTTCAAGTGCTCGTAAGGTTTATTCAGTTTGATGATGTGTCTTGCTATCAGAACTCAGAAGGATATGTAGCTATTGATGACACCGCAAAACTGGTACATGAACCTACACATGAAGTGGATTTCCTTGTATGGTCATTGGACAAACTATGCGCAGTAATCTTTTCCCGAGATATCATCAAACTGATAATCAATTGAACACGCAAAGGCTAAACGAGCTTAGAGAGACCGAACGTCAAGGGCAACTAGACGCCACCTCCGGAGCGCATTGCTGTGACATCAATGCATCGTCCTGACTCCTGTGTCGTTTCTTTTCACAAGTCTTGCTGATGGAATCAAAAATTTTACGAGCATTGTAATTTGTGACAAGAAAAAATATTAAATTTCAGCAATGCCATACGCTAAATTTTTAAATAGCGACAGTTAGCTGATATTCATCAGACAAAATTTTATGTAATAAAGTTAATGATCCAAAATGGAAACGTAAAGTTAAATCCGTATACGGCTGCATCGGAGTATAACGATATAAAATACGGTATACAGTACTTATATTTATTTTGTACTATCTATTCACTTAGATACAAAAAGTAACTAAAAAATTTTTTAATGATTTGATGAACATAGCGAAACAATGTCGCTGGCAGTGACCAAAAACAAGCTAAATATCTTCTTAAGTATTAGAGAGCTAATATACACGTGCATAATTATTTCGCGTACATCACAAACTCACCGTTTCTGTGGAAGATTGACTGGAGGTGGGACGAGTAACCTTCTCAAACGAGAGTCAGTAATCTACTGCGGTTAGGTGCTGAACAACGCTACTTATGGCGCGGCAAAAACCTACTTTTATAGGTAGCATCTCTAGTAGATCAATGGAGGGAAGGTGTCAATAGCTGATGACCTCGAACCGGCAGACAAAAATAATCTCCTAACACATCATTATTAGATCATCGGGTGGAAATACATCTCTGTTGTGAGTGTGGCCGTCCTGATTAGTACTTATAGCCTTTTTAGTCCATTTAATTTTTTCACTATTGTTTCGTTATGCTAATTATACCTCCATACTTCGACAAGACTTGACCGTCAATATCATAGTTTGTACACTTATCATCTAAATTTTTAATTATAAATTTATCGGCTACGTTTTTATGGGTGTTGCACCCAATAAAAACTCCCACCTACATGGCAGAAAATCGGTGCAGTCGCTTTTGGGAGGGAAAGGGCCATATCTAACCAAGTTTACAGTATTGTATTTCTTTGTGCATATATCAAACTTGAAATTCTTGATGCAATATCCGTAGAGTGGCCATCCATATTTTGCAATGTTTTTCACGGTGCTCTTGGCTTGACATGTAATTCGCAGCTTAAAGACTCTGAGGTTCTTGCATTCAAAGCGGAGAAGGAACTGTTGCTAATATTATTATAGGTTTGAATAGAGTTTTGGGCATAATTTTCGCTACTGTGATTGCTTATATTGATATACAAATTTCTTTACCCAGTAGAAAATATATCATGCAGAATATTATTATCAAGGTCCAAGTTCTTAAAGAAATCTCAAGAATAAGAAAATTGGCCAAAAGACACACAAGAAGTGTTTTGATCAACAAAGTATTTTTAGGTGAAATGTTTCATGTATCAGAGTTTCATCGTCAATTATTTGAATGTCATGAGCAAATAACGTTTGCCAAAAAAATAAGAATAATCTGTGATTATCACAGTCAGTATAACTATAGTAAAGGAAAATGTTCATGATAAGACCTAATCTTGGCGAATGACATTTGCCGAACCTGTTCCGCAGGAGCCCAGTCTCTGTCAGGATCTCTGCGAACTACATACATTATGGCATTCTCAGACATTGCGATTCGCCCACAAGCTTGGGCTACCGCTTGGTAGTATAAAAAGACGCATTGTAAATCTATAAATTCTATTCTGATCCAGTGATGATCGGAAAGGTAGTGATCAGTTGGGGTATTTAGACGTAAGTCGTTCAATTTTAAACAAGAGTTGAACGGAAAAGTTGTAATCAGTGAAGTATTGTAGACCTGGTTCCCAGGCATAAATATTCTATTCTAAACGTGGGATGACCGCATAGATGTTAGTCAATAAAATAATAGAGCGGTTATCAAATTACCTCGGTGCTTGCTACTAGGTGGAGATCCGCGGCTATGCAGAAGTGAATGCATTCATCTCTGGTCTAATTATTGATGTTAACTATTCTTATAAATTATGTATTGTCTGATGTTAAATTAATACGACTTGTAAGAGCCTGTGCACGATAGCGACCAGTCCGGCCTAGTATTAGCGCCACCTTCATGATGTCACCGGCAGAAATTAATATTGCCACAAAAACCGGACAGAAATCGAGACAGTAATCAAAATCCACGAATGTGTGACCCCATCGAGTTCCTGGGCTGGCATAAGATAATACATAAACGTCCTCGTCGCCAATATTATTTACGTTTTTTAAGTTGTCAGACATGAAGCTGACATTTCGGTGAGGTCATTCAAAGCCTTGGAACAAACCTAGAATAAAAATCAATGTATTATCTTATAAGTACGTTTTAATTTCAGTATGTAAATAGGAAATTTTACTCAATTTTNAAAATCAATGTATTATCTTATAAGTACGTTTTAATTTTAGTATGTAAATAGGAAATTTTACTCAATTTTGCAGTGAAATACAGAATATTTGATAAATTTACATTTGTACGATTTACATCACCCCCCTTAGAGATCAAACAAGTCGTCTGAAAAACTGATTGGTCGTTTATTATACGCACGAAACATATTGTATCCCCTTATAGTTCTAAATACTTATTGTACATGTTGGGTCATAAGTGTTACTATGGTAACATGGATACGCCAAGCTCCCCTACAACACGCATCGTTATCAGCCGTCACTAAAACAATGGTTGAGAATCAAGGTCTGTGATTGCATTTCCCTGCATTAGCAGCGAAAGCTGCAGTGTCAGGTTTGGCTCCTCTTTTGCAGGTCAACACCTGCTTTCTACCCCACGCAATGAGTGAAAGGTTATCATTGAAGGGTCAAACGCCTCCAGCATATGCAGGGACCTGTGAATGTTATCATCCCCCTTGTGTATTAACGAGGACACACACTTTCCTTTTAATGACACTGAGGAAAGGATGTCAATGAACAAAATTTCAATTCAACGAAATTAGTGTCTTTGTAAAATATAAATTCGAATCGATGCTTGTTAATTTAATTAAATCGTGATAGTTCTTTGAGAGTTTCATAATGTTAGAGAATTTATTTAGTCACTCACGAGCGTAGAGGCGTTTTCTGTTCTAAGAATTCCTATTTAAAAGAACGATATAACCTTCGGGTTACATAATACTTGAAGGTCAGTCCGTCGTTGCCCGGGGCTCGATAATGCTCGCATGTTTAAAATCCTATTATCCCAAAAACAGTCACTCCCAAAATAAATAATTATAAAGCTCAAGTGTTGCAATCAAATAAAGACTACTTTGAACCTATTTCTTTTATAGAAGACATGACACTTATGTTACTATCGTTTCAAAGTTATGCACCCCAACATCTTCTACACTCGTAAGTTTGTTGTGTCAAGCTTCAAAAAACACACAAACTCGGACAAATATATTATAAGATATAGCCGGTCTTGTTTGTTCTGTATTTATTTACTTCTGTGTCTGGGATGTAGAGCGCAGCCTCGCTATGCAGGTCGGTGACCTCAAGCGATGCAACCGAGAACTGGACCGTCGACCCAGCCCTTGACACCAGCGCCATGTCGGCTCCGTCTCGCTAACAGAGATAATTAGACTTGATATGGGCGAAGTGGGAAAGGAATACGTGGAGTGACCTTTGATGAGCTGTTCATGTGCAATGCAGGTCCATACGAGAGCTGTTCTAATAAATCGTTTAAGCTTCTACTAAATGACTTATTCATTTCAGGTTGTGAGTATTTCAAACTGTGAATGATTTTCTGAAGCCTACATAATTACTAACAATTCTAGAGGTATGTTCCATCACGTTTTATAGTTGTAATTGTTAGGGTTAAGTAGAGGAGTTTTGGTTGTACTTACTGTGCTTTTCCGCTACTTCTAATTGTAGTGGAGCTTCATCAGAAATTTACTGATCTCATATGAAGACTGCGGAATGTTCATACAGACTCAAAATTGCCTCCGCACAAACAAAATCCGGCGCTACGAGAAGCGCGGCAAGAATCTTCTCCTAGCCTCAAATGATATTTCCTACACATTTTTATCCCGCCTCGCGCGCTTTCTTCGTAGTTTCAATTTGCCCGAACCGAATCCTTGATGATATACTTTGCAAGCCTCATGCTGGAAATAAAATTGCAAGCCTCATTCTGGAGATAAAACACTCATCAGCTCAACACCGGCATCAGCCAGTATAATTCATGTATGACAGAGGGTAGGAAACTCGACCGGAATATGCCTTTATTCTATTAATACACGTGATAAAATACATCTTTTTGGCATCGCCATGTTAACATAAGCAATCCTACATCAGAGGAGGGAGTGCGAGGTTACCAGGGATACCATATAAATTTACAACAAAAATCTAAAGAAATATAATATAAGAACAAAACAAAGGATGCCCAAATAACTGTAACAAAATAAACTCGTGTTAGATTTAATTAATATATGCCAATACTCCAGATAATGTAAGTCCCAGCGTATTTTTACTTAGACATCAATAATCAAAGGAACAAATGTTGTCTACAAGACCAGATAGGAGGCTTTGGATAAAAAGCCGGCAATAAATAATTAGCGTTACTGAATAACAAAATAATATTATTAAAAATTTTATACTGACAAAAATTACACTAAGCATTTAGAAACACAATCAGTCGACGTAAATCTGAAAGACGTAACTTTGATACGATGACAATTATTTAACTGAACTAAATTCACAGACAACACTTAATCGCACGATTCGCAAGCAACAATATTTTGAGAATTTAGCTGCATTATTCTAATTAAAAAAGTCCAACAATCAGATCATTCAAACAGGCTCTGAAAAAGGCACCAGTGGCGTTATGAGAACATCATCTGAGAATTGAAGACGTCTAGGTTACACCATGGAACTTCGACAAAATACAAACAGGGTAAAATAGCAACGAAAGCTCGAGATTCCAAGCTCCGGATATTTTGAAAACAATATGTGAAACTGACCTAAAAAGGTTGATCCCTTTTGTATGCAACTTCTTTCGATTCGCACGTAGGTAGTAATGTAGATTACACTCAGTAATGCAAGAAATTTTCAACTTCAATAAGAAATATATTCAATTAAAAAAATATTCTCTTTACATTGGTTTGTAATCTGGGCAGAAGAAGCCAAATTCAGTGTGCAAGAAAAGCCATTTCTTGGGTGGAAAAATAGTACCTATCATATGGACATCACAGACGTCAATATTTAACAAGATAACATTCAAGTTCTTGAAGGCACTTTAGAACGGTCGCTTTTACACCTGCTGTAACCACGCTAAGCGAGGATAAATTTCATTTAATTACAAAGCAAAATAATGACATTGGTGATCCCCACCAAATTACCGGACTAAATCTTCTCACCCAAATTTTCTACATGAATGGTTTATTCTGGTACACAAAAAGGTTTTGATCTTAATCAGTAAAACTATCATTCAAGTATACAGTTAACTATAATTAACAGGTTCACAACTACCGTGGAAAAAGGAGCAGCGACATCCTGGAAGACGAAACTCAAATAATTTCGAACCTTTGATGCGAGTTGACATAATCTCCATCCGTCAACCACGAACCCAAATGAGATCATCTCTAGAAAATTCATTACTTGTCAATTACTACTTCTCAATCGTAATCTCAGAGACTATATAGTAGCACCGAATATGAAGCTCGCAGATAATTGCAACGCAATCATGGGAAAGTTTTATTTTTTTTATTATTTTTTTTTGTCTCGACCAGAAGCGAGCATGCGAGCTAATTATTGAGTTCTTTACTGGCTAATTCGGACTGAGTTGACATTAGACGGCAAGTTGTTTGCACGGATTATCACCTTGATGCAGTATTTATTGGAGGCGTAATTTATGGCTCCTCATTTTCCGGTTGTGCTGACTTCAAACGAAAATGTATAAAGGTTTAAACAGCGTGGTGCATGACGTGCAAGGGTTAAATCGGTTGAAACTTGGGCAGGTTTAGAATCAACAAACTAAGGGATTGTAACACGAAAAGAACACAGACAAAAGCAGTTACTCCTAGCATAATTCAATACCAGCTGAGATTTGATCGTACTTTATTAGGTGTGAACTACAGATTGTATTAACTTAACATTGATGAGATTCGCCAATAGAACAACACACCCCAACAAAAAAAGAGTTGACATCAGATGATAAGATAAGCTGCAATCATTATAGATTATATATGGAAATTCGATAATATATGCTATTTATTTGCCAAGCTCAGATCAGTCGACGTTCCATAAAAAGCTCACTTCAATAATATAAATGAGAAAATTATTCAAACACATTTTTATGCTTTTGATTATATGGAAGCAAGCGAGATTTCACAAGAGAAGCCCTTAAAATGTTTGCATATAGGCAAGTATTGCCAAAAATCTAGCGGATAAATGAATTCTGAGCATAAGATTAAACTTGTCCCATAGTGATTAAACTGGTGCTGAACTGTTTGATTACGATTAAGCTCCTTACATAGCATGGTGCGGCCTTAAATCAAGATCACACCAACCCCTCAGGCCAAGATGACCCCACACCAACCCCTCAGGCCACGATGACCCCACACCAACCCCTGAAGCCAGGAAGGCCTGACCCTAATGCCCAGCAGCCTCATGTCATGAGGCTGTAGTGCTGGGGCTTGCTGGCCGTGGGGTTGCGGATGAGGACAGGCAGATGACCAGCCAGTCTGCCCATGCTGCGTAGCGTCAACACGATCACCGTCACCTGACACAACCGAGAATGAGTTAATTAATTTTCCCAGTTATATCTTTACAACTAATAATAAATCAGTAGCTTATAAAGTTAATTTGGAACATCACGATAATGTTCATTGTTGTGATTGTAAATACAATACTCATTTGCAGAGAAGAAGATGGATGAATATGATGGAGGTTACCCTCGTTTTTGACTGAATAATAGTTAAACATAACCGAGATTGATAAATAATGGATTGAAATGAGTGAAAACAATAGTTTCATGATTTAAAAAAACTTGCATGGAGAATTATTAACAAGCTGACTATTTTGTGTCTGGAATAATAGGAAATTATAACTGTCGACACTTTGTATATATTGTACATTTATTACAGAGATGTCCACAAGAATCATTCCCAATATGTTTTTTGAGACCATCCCTTTGCAGTGCTCACCATGATCACTTGTATGACACAGATGGGCAGGAAGGCTTGGCGGCTGATCATGCGATAAGACTTCGACCAGCCTGATGACAGCACTGGCAGGCAGCCCTGGGAGTGCAAGATATTTACTTGCTTACCCACTGTATTTACATTCAATTATGAACAAGCTTGGTTCGTAAATTTTATGTTATTATAAATCTTTTCAGTAAAAGAAGTATACAAACAAAGGCTTCTGAAAAGCAATAAATTACTAATCCAGCCCTAAGTTATCCACAACCGTATGATGATATCAAGAAATTTTGGGCCAAACTGAACATGTAATGCAAAAATGGTAATGGTAATAATAGAACATTGTTAATAAAAATATAACTCAGTACTCACTGCAATGAGTGATAGAGAGCGCATTTTCTCGTGGACGAAAACGTTAAGTCACGGACGGACGGACCGACGGACGTACGGACAGACGGACATGGCGAGCACAATGGTGCATTTTTTCTACAAATGAGAAAATGCGCTAAAAATGAGACGATTCCAAACCATGATCAGATTGGTCATACATATTTACACTACAGGATAATTCACGGAAACTTCCTGCTTTGTATTTCGTGCCAAGCAGCAAAATATTGTAGAAAAAGGCAGGGAGTATTTTATATGAAAAACGAGGTCATGAAGTTTTGTGTCCGCCTGGTCAGTTGCCACTTGCCACTATGCATTGGACAAGTGAGCAGCTGGCGTTTGCTTTCGAGGCCTACTCTTTATAATGGCCCTCCCATTGTCACCAAATCTCCTTGAGAGGTGACCTTCTTTGGCCAGCCCGATCACCCAATTTGGTTGTCATTTTTTATGGGGCCATCATGCATCAGTTGTTTACAATGACTGTCCAAGGGCCCTACCTCATTAAAGAACAACATACATCAAGCCATTGCCAATATACCCGTCAATATGCTTCAGCAAGTTGAATGGAACTTCAAAAGTCGATCAACTGAATGCATTGACAATGGTGGCTATCATTTTTCCGAAGTCATCTTTAAAACTAGGTGATACAAAAATTCAGGTAATTTCTTTTTCAATAAAATTTATACTGTAATAATATCTTACTAGTTATTTTTTTATTGAGCTTTCAAATCAAGAAGTTTCCGTGAATCACTCTGTAGGAGAGTGAGTACCAAACCTGAGTGCTGATGTAGTCGTCTATGTCACTGTGGCTTCTTATTCCCGCACCACAGCCAGTTGAGGGCAAGAGGCAGCATGAGTCTGGCACACTCATGCCGTCACCAAAGCCACTTGTAAACCAGTCATTGTAGTCCACCACCCCACAGCACTCTACCTGTTGCACGGTAGCATAACATTACTTGACAAACAAATAGGCAGCAGAAATGTAGAACATGGATATAAAAGTACAATATCATTCAATGTTTTATCTAGCCTTTCAGGTTTGCCTAAATTATCCCATGTTTCAATAATACGCCTGATTTAGTTGACCTGTAACTTAAAATCATTAACTTGATAAATATTGACAATATGCATGCATAAAGCTTACAGATATGGTGAAAAACTCCAGTCGTCTCTTAAAAATACTCAGAAGCCTCACTAGAATATGAAAATCCAAAATGTTATGAATAGATAGATACAGTCACCAGAATTTACAATACATGCTTAGGATTTAAGTTAAGAATATGAAAGTGACCAGGGAGGAAGTTGAATTACGAATGGCATACCGGTATGTGACATAATAAAAATGGCACTTTATTTTCAGGCATTGTTTTCTTTTCTACATGTTGGGTTGAGGCTGAGTGGACTGTACCTTCTTCTATTATAAGAAGCTTTTCATGTGGCAACAGCTCAGGTCAAACTGGTATTTGTGAAAGCAGAATTTCATCCCAAATACTAAAGGTACAATATTCTACGCCTACAACAATCCAAAATAAACAATATTTCAACAGAAAATACCCTTGAACATCAGTGTATATCAGAACATTTAAAACATCAATCAAGTTTTTGATGAAAGTTTTTTACATTTTCATCATAACAACTTGGTACCTCATTTTGTATTTCATCCCACATTGCTGCAGCAGAGCTGTTAGTTGAGTACACGTCAAGAGACTCTTGCATGTTCTTTTGAACGCTGTGGTAAAGGTTCAGTGACCACGCAGGCTGCCGTACAGCACTCATGGCTGACGACATAATCTCCAGGGCCAGGAACACAAGCAGTAAAACCAGGCACTGAGAAAAAAGATGCACTCAAAATTTGAATTCAGAATCTCAATACATATCATAAAAAGCACAAGCATTTGCATATAAAGCTTTTTTTCAATTCAGTGAGATTGCATAGTAAATATACCGTACATGGTCATGAGTGTCATCACAGCAATTAATGATGGCTGGAAAATTTTGTAAACAAATACTGTGACTGTTGGCAAGAAGAATATGTTTATCTCAAATACACTTGTCTAAGTTTGTGTGTTTGAAGCCTGGCACTATTTTGGCATGTGTTGATGACACCTATCCTGTTGTGATATTATCTGTACCTGAAATTCTAAGTAATATATGAATTTAGTTCAATATACCATACACAAAATAGTTTTTCTACATACTTTGAAGCAAAACTAAAATGGAAGTCAAATCTTATATGTAAATGTAAGTTTGAATAGATCATTAATTATAATATCATAAGCTTGATTAGTATGAACAGGATTGGATAATGGGAATGACAGTATTTGGGATAACAGGTTTCCAAAAATTGTGGGAATTAGCAAGCCTGGGTAATTCTGGGCTAATTAATCATTTTTTGTGCAGAAAGGTATAATGGACAAATTATATTCCATCATATTATGTATACTGACATCAGTTCTTGAGATTTTTTCTAACCTTTGGCAAACAAAGGCAAGTTACAGAAGATACTAAATAGAATAAAATATTGAGTAGCTAATAGAATTGAATTTGACTATTGTTGGATAATCTATTGTTGAATAACTGAAACTAAAACATAGGATGGATAAGTTAACCCAGAAGACAAAATTTTTTTTGAGAAATTGATTTCAAATCCCAGGAGAAGAAAATTGATTTCAAATTGTACAAATTAAACATCTCTTGTATGATGTGGTTACCTTGTGAGCAGCTTGAGGCTTGGGAGCAACAGTAGCAATGGCACAAGCAGCACTGGAGGCAGCAATAGCAACACCCAAGCCAGTGAAGCCAGCAAGAGTCATCCAAACCCAGGATGGCAGCCAGGGAGAGAGGTAAGCTGCCCAAGACAGTAGACAGGAACCCACTACCATCAACGCCAAGCCTGTTCCCTGTAAGACAAATTAATTAAGTAGTTTTAAAGGGTAACAGAAACAGAAAAAGGCCTTTCTATCAAATAACAGGTTTATATTGTCTAAAAGTAGAGCACACAATAAAGGCAGACAAGATCAGTACTTTCTTCCCTTGAAGGAGACATACAATTATATATACAATGCATCTTCAACATGAAAATAAATTTAGAAAAAAATTGACTGCTAATCAAAGAAATTTACTGCTTCTATAAAAACACAAGCTTAGATTTTTCAAAGATATTATTTATAGGTACCAATACAAGTGTCATATGCACAGCAAGTTAAGAGCAGAGCATGACACACTGGCACACAACCACTGGCAGACCACAAGAGTGACAAGACCACAATTCAGCATTTAGGCCTATATACTTACATGTTTCATTTTAATCATGAAAACTATGATATATGAAAAAAGCATTATTCCTCAGAATAACTTTTGAAATGTAACTTAGCACCAATTTCCAGTTTCCACCAAATATTGAAGCCATCGAGTCAAACTCTGAGCCTCTGAGGCACTCCTGTCAAGCCCTCAAAAATAAATGTAAACTTCTGTCTTCTGTTGCTACTTGCTAGATGTTCGATCTTTGTGATTTCCCAGCTAGAAATAATTCAAAAGTGACCCCTGAATCTGAATGGGACAAAAATAATGATTTTTTTGCAAGTTCACTTGTTTCCTTGGCCCTTGCTCTATTTCATAACTAGAAAATTACAAAAACAGCGTTTTTTAGTTTTTAGCTAGTAATTTGTGAAAAATGCCAGTGAAGTGATAATTTTTACCTAAAATTAATGAAAAAGTAAGCCATTATTCCAGATTGGGGTGATTTGTCCAACACTTTTTCTCTTAGTAGTTAAGTTACTTCAGTACAATAAGATGTTAGATTAGCTACAATCATATTAATGATAAATTAATCTAGGTTGGGCCATTAGATTCAGAGCATAACTTTTCTGTGTACTATCCTGCAGATTGCAGATGAATCCTCCTTTATCTTTGCATATTTTGATATCTTTCATCACAAAAATTCTATAAAAAGACTGCCAGAGCAGCCAGACTAGGCTAGCATACAATTGGACTTAGAGCAACATCCTGTGATAAGTGATTCCTGTCTATGTTTTTGAATTAGCCTACCCAAAACATAATGCATTAGACGTTGGAACCCCTAAATTTCAAACAGACCCAAAAATTGCAAAACCATGTACCTATCATCAATTCATCATCAATCATCATGCATGTTTGTAAAACAAATGCATTATGTTTACTACTCTCTCAAATGACTCAATCAACTTGACAGATATTTTCTATGATTTTTTCTGAACTATGAAATAAAGGGTTATTCAAAATAAACCATACATTATTTCCATTGTTTAAATATAAGTACAAACTCACTGAAACTGCAAAAAATCTGAGTGTATGTAGTAGGTATATTGACGCCTTTCAGTTTTTGACGTAAAAGTTAGGCTACATAAAGTTTTATACTTAAAACCTTACCGTAATAAACATCAGAGCTCCAAACGCCACAAAATCTCCACGTATTTCCATTTTTAATTGATATTGAACTGGAATTAAGACAATAGAATTTTATTTGTCTTGCTACTTGAATGACAATATGACATTGACGGAAGTCGTACGTTGAGCGTCACCTCCCACTCAGCGACATGAACGATGGTGCGGAAGCGAAACTGGCGATGTTGTGACGGTTCGCAATTTCGCATCAATATTATGAGATACGGTAGCTAGTTTCTAGTGATGCGTAATGCGGATAAAATTCATCTAGTACATTTACTTGAAAGTCAGAGCAATGAATTAACTAATAAAAATTATTGAAATCAAAGAGCTGTTTTTCAAAGTTCAACGAAGTGAAATCCTTTTTTTCTTTGTTGTTTTTCATCATTGACAATCCATCATTTACATCCTCATTGCGGAAAAAGCGCTTATTGTGGGTTCGTCGTACTATATCAAATACTATTACATCAGCGTCTTATCTATTCACTGGTATTATTCAAAGAAATAATTCTTCATTTCTGAATTGGTCATGAAATTTGTTACAAAATTACGAGCATTGCCCGCCTGATGTCAATAAAATTCATCCCAATATTTAAATTATTATTGGAAGATCTAAGTTTTATTTTTGTCGGTGAAAAATCTCGATTAGTTTACGATGCGAAATTAATTTGTTTTATAAAATACCAAAACACAAAATATCAAAATTGTTAAATTTTGTTTTCATTTATTTGCTTCTTGGAGAAGTATGATAAAATTTTTCGCGTATAACAATACATTATTCATTAGTCCTCCAGTGATACGATGATCTATTGATAAGAAGATGTGAACAGTGCGTTATTGTGTGGAGAGTTGACATTATAATGTATTTGTGCTACTTTAGAAGCATGGAAATGTTAGATGTTATCTAATTGCAATTTTGTAACTATTTATTCGGATAATTGTTAATATATTTTGCTTTCGGAGTGACAAATGTAGTCGCAGCCTGCGGCCCAACGGCAATTCTTTCCAGTAATTGAAAACTGCAATGGCTGACCTGCTTTGCATTGCACATAATCAAGCGATATAAACAGAAAAAAAATCTTCTGAATCTTCAAAGATTAATTCGTATAACGCGGCTGACTACCGACGACTAGCGGCTGATGAAAGAAATTTAACTGCGATTAGTCATGAATAACGCGTTGTGCGAGTCGGCTTCCGAATTTTAGTCGACTTATAAGTCATGATTTGGCTTTAGTTATGCGGCTTTTTCTGATTATGTTGAAATCCGCCCATACAGTCGACTTGCAGAGGTCAATTATACAAATAAACTTGCAATACTGACAATCATATAAAAAAATTTCGACAAGGTTACTCGGTGTAATGTTCCCGAAGATTTGATAAAAATGACATATGACTCATAAGAAACAAAATGGTTTCGTACTTTTGAACATTCGGATGACTCTGTTTCGCGTCTGATTGAAGATGCGCTCTCTTAACAGCGGTGCGCACTTATAGTAATTGAAACCTCTTACTGACGACAATCTAGAGGGGAAAAAGAGAGAATTTGAGAGAGGAAGGCGAGAGAGAGTGCGGCGACCTCTCGCTCCGGAATATCGACCTGCGGGAAGTCGGTCCACCTTTCAAGGTCTTTGCCAACTGATTGCGAGGCGGGATTCAGCGACTCTCACCCCCCAACGACAGGCCGCGGAGGCCTTTAAAATACATATTTCCTGATTTAAGACAAAGCTTTCGCTACTTATTAGACGATAAAACAAAGCTATTTAATTATGGTGGCTGCAGCTCTATCTTGATCTTAAAGAAATGTGAATCAAATTGGCCAAATAATAATTCAAAAATTGTTAATTTTTTAAGACAAAGTTCTGCGCAACATGCAATTTCTCCGCTGCCTGGCCACATCTCTCGCCTAAGATTTCCAATGAAACTAGTCTTGGATGAAATATTTGAACTAATTCGTAAATAAAATTAATTTATCATTAGCAATTGAGCAGAAACAACGATCGGGATTCTTGGACTGTTACTCGAACGCGCATCGTTTTCCGATAATCGATCTTAACCACTGATTAGAACTTTTACACAGCGGTGGATGAATGCGTGCATCCAATTTTTCTCTCATTATAGATCAACACACAGAATCTAAAACCAAATCAAATAACAACAATATTCATGGTGATGAAAATAAACCTGAGGGCGCTACAGTTGAACAAAAACTAAATGTGAAGAAGAACAGATAGTCACGAGCAACAGATGGGCATCTACCGTTTCCCTGGCACGGACAATTTATTTGCAGGGCGGAGCTCGACAGGTCTCCGTCTGCTGACCCCGAGCTGCTCGCACCTGCCACTGTAGCTCCAGCGACCGTCGTGGTAGGATATGTCGAAGTGTAGCTCTAGAAGCCTGTTGCTTTTGAGCTCGCAGCCTCGCACTGTTGTTCGTATGTGTTGAATGTATTACATAAGGATGCACTCAACTCCGTGTGTTTCTTAGCTGTGAGTCCGAAAAGAAGAGAACTTAGGCACTGCACCGAAAAATTTGACCAGATATTTTGTTACATTTCGCAAAGATCCATCTCATCTGTAAAGTATTCAATCGCGTGAACTGTTAGCCGTTTTTTGAATCTTTAGATAAACTCCCGATATCTATAATGAACTAAAATTTCAATTTGAAAAGGTTTTCTAATTTATAAGTGGCAACTTCGGATCATCAAGTAGTAACTGAATGGGAAATTGTACCTTTAATGCTCAACGATGGCTACTCAATAATAATTTAATAGTCGTTTATTAAGTTCACGATAATAATTTTCTCCTGATGGCCTGCAATGACGTTTAAAGAAAATTTGCTTAAAGAATGTCTTTCAACTAATTTCTTTTAATGCCTCAATCTTAAAGTTTATTCTGCAAGAATTTATCGAAATTTCGTCACTTGCTGCGTCACGTTTTGAAGAAAATATAGGGTAAGATCGTTATTCTTTACCTCAATGCAGTTGGGATGCTGATTGGACAAGGAAGAACAGTTCATTATGCAAATATCCCGCTGGAGACCAGAAGTATTCAATGTTTCTTTTAACAAATCAACAACGAAAAGATTAGCTTGATAGTCTTGTGCTGCCGTCAAACTCTTATTATTTGTGAACTCCGTCTATTCTGACCGCGAAATTAGTAGGTACAACTTAGCCCCTGTTTTCATACATACGTACACGTGCCATTGATGCATACTTTTTTAGATAGATATCATGTTTTTCTCTAGCCTTTTAATCAATTTTTTCACTGTTTATTTAAATTTCTGAACCACGAATTTTTCCAGCAGTTTTTTTTTTGTTTCTATTTTGGTACGCAGTTGCTAATCGCTTTAGTTATTTATCCGTTAGCTTTTCATTCTCACATCGCCTCGAATTTTTCTATCAGTGAAAATAACCGGGAAGTGTTCCCACCGCGAGTTTTCTTTAGCTAAACTCCCTACAAATGTTTTCCTTGCGAGGCTTCCCCGCTACTTATGCCTGGAGCCGGTGATCCTCGGTGGGGTTATGAGGGTCGGTGGGGTTATGAGGGTCGGTGGGGTTATGAGGGTCGGTGGTGACCCGAGCAGCTTTCCCACATCACTCATAAAAATGAATAAGTCATTTTGTTCAAATAGTGACACACTTTCTTTGACCCACATCACGGACAGAGAGCGGCCGTAGCACTGATACTCCTTTTTGCCAGTCTCTCTCGTTTTTTTTTTTTTTTTGAGTGGCAGCTAGATATTGCCTTTTCGGTTACATTAATTTTGATTACTGAGATATAATGTATAACTGGTTGATGACTTAAGCCTGGTTCGTTTTAATTATCATGTGAATTTTTATGTTACAATGAGCGCATATATGCAATATTTTTAGCGAGGCTCATCTATTTTTATATGGCCATTCAAATGATCTGCAATCCATGACCTATGAATTCTTTTCCGTGTCGGTATTGATTTGTCAATTGTAATAAATTATTTGTTATAAAATTCGCTCCCTTTGAAAAAATTATAAATAAATAATATCTTTTTTTAAATAAATTTGTGTAGAACTTTATGGCTACTTTTGGACCTCTGCTATCATACAAATAACCGTAATTGTTTAGAGCGAAAATTCGTCAATGATTTACCTTCAATCGACAGTGTATGTGGCATGAAACTGTTAATTTATTACTGTCGCATTAAATTTTCAAAAGCTGATTGTTGCTAAAAAGTTCGTAAAAAAATTGAAAACAAGTATCGACATAAATTTAAAAACCGATATACAGCTGGACAGTGCAATTAAGAATTCGGGACGACAAGTGCAAAAGAAGCAACAAACAATGCAGAGTTTTTCACCAGTGAAATAATTTCAGCACTAATCTCATGAAAACTAAAAAAATCTCGCCATAGATATTATAAATCATTGTGATAACAGTTTGTGAAAGGAAGATCGTTTGGAATTCACCGTAAAATCTGATGCCATCGTTCGAAGAAACTGTTGCACCAGGCAACAGCAGCCTCAGGAGCAGCCCTCCTGTGGTGCACATGGAGCAGAGAACTGTGATGACATCACACGCACAGCCCTACATCAACCCCAGTGATGGCGGTGAGTGCGTGTTACAGTGTGGCGGTGATGGCGGTGAGTGCGTGTTACAGTGTGGCGGTGATGGCGGTGAGTGCGTGTTACAGTGTGGCGGTGATGGCGGTGAGTGCGTGTTACAGTGTGGCGGTGATGGCGGTGAGTGCGTGTTACAGTGTGGCGGTGATGGCGGTGAGTGCGTGTTACAGTGTGGCGGTGATGGCGGTGAGTGCGTGTTACAGTGTGGCGGTGATGGCGGTGAGTGCGTGTTACAGTGTGGCGGTGATGGCGGTGAGTGCGTGTTACAGTGTGGCGGTGATGGCGGTGAGTGCGTGTTACAGTGTGGCGGTGATGGCGGTGAGTGCGTGTTACAGTGTGGCGGTGATGGCGGTGAGTGCGTGTTACAGTGTGGCGGTGATGGCGGTGAGTGCGTGTTACAGTGTGGCGGTGATGGCGGTGAGTGCGTGTTACAGTGTGGCGGTGATGGCGGTGAGTGCGTGTTACAGTGTGGCGGTGATGGCGGTGAGTGCGTGTTACAGTGTGGCGGTGATGGCGGTGAGTGCGTGTTACAGTGTGGCGGTGATGGCGGTGAGTGCGTGTTACAGTGTGGCGGTGATGGCGGTGNGGCCCAAATGAGGGCAAATAGACGGAA